AAAATTATCAAGCTAACAATTTTTAATTATTTCAAAGTTAAGAAGAAAACAATGTCCAACACTAATTTTTCAAGAACAACTGCTGCCAAATCACTCTGGTTTCCTTTTATAGGAAAATATGAAGCCCCTTGGGTAGGGCAGACAAAGAACTTACCATATATTTGATTTTGGTAGACCTTTCAATGTTGTTTAACCCAGAAGAGATTGAAAATTAATTAAAAATGGTAAAAGCAAGCAAAAATCTGTTTCAAAGAGAAAGGGGATGATCTGATACCAGTGCTTATGGTGGACAGTGACAAATGAATGGGCTTCTGATGCAGTAGGAAGGAACACAGATATGAATCAGCACAGCTTTTCAAAAGTATAAATTTAAACTAGAGAAATGGCCTGCTTGAGGAAGGAGACTTTGGAAAGAGATTCCATGACAGGAGATCTTGAAGAACAGACTGAGTGAAGGAGCATCATATACATGACTGACCCTGCATGGGGCAGAGAGGGTGAACGAGCTCTGAATAAACTGAGTCCACCTTTTCTATGCCATTTGCATACATCTACATGCTTTAAAAGCTCAAAATGCAAGAGCCCAATAGATGAATCATTTATTACTTAAATGAGCATCTGAAATTGGACAGCAGAAGTACTGTAATAGTTCTTCTGTTCCCTGGGTATAGCATATTTCACTGGTTTAACTGATGAGTCCCAACAGTGTGACAGCAGGAAGAACAATCCACTATGCTAAAGTTTTTTCACCTCCTCTCTTCCAGAGACAGAATGAACTACTGGAAGCTTCAAGATCCCAGAAATACCATTTCAGGCTCATTACATCTAAAAAAAGTAATAATAATAATAATAATAATAATAATAAAGTCACTTACCTGTGCCTTCATTGCAATATTGTACTAATGTCAAATGGTGTAGGATGGCACAGAATACTTCCAAGTTAAGAATTTAAATTCACAGCACAAATAAGCTGTTGTCTCCTTCTTCCCCTCTGTGCTCTATCACAATTCTGGTTTCTGCTCTCAGGGATAACTACCGTTTTGTCCTCCAGGAGTTTCATTTTTGACTCATCCCTACTTTCATCAAGCATCACCTCCCCTCCTTTGCTCTACCACACTGCGATCAAAATCTCTCTGTCAGCTCTGCCATCATCTCCCCCTCTCCCTCCCCCTAATATCTCTCTTATTTCTAGAATCACACTCCCTGTTGCTCCCCTCTCCAAATGACCATACTCTCACTCACACTCTCTTCTCCCTGCATGTATTCCAGTTTTTCTCTGGCACATCTGGCTTCTGATCATACTCAGAGCTGTGCCATGAATATGGCTTTGCTTGCGCTTCCACACTGTACTGGCATCCTGAGAGAAACACAAGTTGGTGAGAGGCTCTGCTTCAGGGAAGTTTCCAGCTCTCATGGATACTGGGAAACTCTGAAAATGTGGGCAGAGTAAATCTCCCAAACAAAACACAGAGCATGCACAAAGGGCCTCCAAAGTACCACTAAAAATTGTGTGTCTCCTACAGCCTGAGATTTATGCATAGCCTTTCAGCAGAAAATTCTGGATCTAGTTGGAAATGAAGAAACAGCCCTACTCATACCTACCTAGAAAAGAAAATTGGCAATAGTAACTGCCTCTACTAATCCTATCCTTCACCTGCAAAGGATTTATTGGTGTGGTGTCCACCTCGACTAAGGATAACCTCTGCCATCAGTCACTCGAAGAAGATGAAGACTTCAGAACACATTAAACCAGACTAAAGACATGATGTTTTTACCACCGTAAAGCAAAATCATCAAATGTCAAAAATCACAAGATTGGCTCCCAGATATTTCTATTTTGAATTTAAGATTCTTCCTTTCAGCAAAACTGCATGGTGCTGACAACTCATCCACTAATTCAGAAATGTTAACAATTTCTGTATCCATTCCTATCAACTTAGCCCCAGCTAATACTTCTTTTCCTGCCATCTTCATCTCAATCCCTAACGAGAATTTCAGCTAACCCTTCAGGTCAAATCATCCTCCTGTCTTGATTTTTGAGAAAAATACTAATGGTTGCATGAATGACCAATACATTTAGGAAAGTGCCTATATCACACGGTTTGCTGAGATTAGTAGAAAATCAGAGTTCATGACCTCTTTTTCTATACCCCTATACAAAACCTAAATTCCCTGCTCCCCCTTTCAGCAGGCACAGAGCTCACAAAAGGAGCAACATCTCAGGCTCACCTTTGGCAGATCTGACCAACTGCTCATCCTTGACAGACTGCTTCTGGGAACAGACATCCAGCTGGACAGGACTGTCCTTCAGCCCTGATTGGACTGGAAACCTCTGCAGACTCAAACTTCATGTACACATAGGAAAACTAAAGACATTTGCCAGAGCTGACAGGAGGGAAGTCACAGATGCCTGTCACACCTTCTCCCCCCCATCATAAACATTGTACAGAACACATCCATCTCAAAAGGTGAGTGAGAGAGGGCCAGAGCCACTTGACTGTTCCTACATATCTTCAAGTTGTGTGAGTAGCCATAAAAGCCAGTGTTGGGATGGATGTGAGACAGACAATCAGAAGATCAAATGAAAGCACAGACAGCACATCAGAGGTGATGAGTGTTTCTCTCTGCATTCCTCTCTCACACAGATATTTCTCCTCAGCCTGCCTGGCTCTTCTTCGCAACACGATCTCTGTAGCATGAGTGGGTGACAGCAGCATCTTGGCGACTCATGGCAGAAACAGTGAATTCCAACCTCTCTCTGCACCTGTGAGCCCCAAGCGATTTAGTAAACATTTTAATTAAAAGATTCAACAGTTACAAAGAGTATCATACAGTAGCCGTGTATAGTATGCCCTCCTTGCAACAAAACCTGAGCCCTGTGATTGGCTAGGCAAGCACACTGCTGGTTTGCTGCTGCAGGTCTCCATTCTCCCTTCCTAATTGCTCCAGGGTCTAGTTCTAGATCATTCAAGGTCTCAGTGTAGTTAAAACACAGCACTCGTGTTTATAACAAAGTTTTCTTCTATGCAAACTTTACTAACACCTTATTCCTTTGTTTATATAATCCCATTGATGAATTTGAGGAATTTATTAACTTTAATCTCTTTAAAGTCAGATTTACCTTAAACATTTAATCTCCATTCCTAAATCCATGTTTTCCAATATTTTCCAACTAGGGGAGTAGTTTTACTTATTACATTTCCCTGAAGCCTTCCAATGAACATAGTCTTTTCTTTCCTTCCTGTCACTCTTACGTTCTGTCCCGCAGCCTGCTCTTACTTAAGTAATTACAATTACTTAATACTCTCTCAGTAATCATGACAACTAATAAGGTATCATAATTCTTGATAAACAGACGCTGACACATTTTACTCTATTCAGGCCGTGACTTCATTGCGAACGCAAGGAGACACTAAACCGAGCCTGCGGATTTTGGGGAGCTGCTTCCCCTGCCTGTCGTTTGTTGCTATGGCAGGTGCGTTGCCCTGGCGGTTCACCGAGGGCTCTCCGCTGCCTCCGAGCCCGAGCTCCGCTGCTCACAGACGCGGAGCCTGCCGCTGCAGTGACGCAGCTCTGAAGGGGCCGGCGCACAGCAGGGCAGCTGCACCGAGCTGTTTTCCTGTCTGCCAGAATCAGGACGAGCGGCACCACGGCACGCTGCTTTTAAAATAACTGGCTGCGGCAATGCACGAGGGGTACGCGTCACCGTGCCCGTGCCCACAGCCAGCACGGGCCGCCGCTGGCCACGCGGCGCCATGGGGCCCTGCAGGAACCGCTTCCTCTCCCCGCGGGGCCGGCCCCACGCTGCCCCGTCACACACTCTTGTGGTCACAGGGCTTCGTTCAGTGTGCCCAGCTGTATTAAAGTGCTACTGTTCCTGCTACTAATAAAACAGATCCAATTAAAAAAAGGTTTAGCACTCGGGGCGCCCAGAGTCGCGGATAGATGACGTTACCAACCGCGCCCCCTCTGCCGCGCCCGCCGCCGTGCCGCCACCAGAGGGCGCCCCCACCCGCGACGCACGGCCCCGCCCCGCCTCATTGGAGCCCGGCTGGGGCGGGGCCGCCGGGTCACGTGCCCTCCCACTCCCGCCCTCCCCGCCAGGCGGTGCTGGAGGACCTATCCCATAATGCACCCCGGGGGCGGCGCGGGGCGGGCCGGAGGCGTCTCTCTGTGCCGCCAGGGCACCGCCTCTGCCGGAGCGGAGCAGCGCCCCCGCCCGGGCCCCGCCGGCGCTGCTGCCGCGCTCCCTCGGCCACGCGCGGACATGTGCAGCTCCGAGGCGGCGGAGGGGGCGCGGACGCCGGGACTCGCCGCTCCCTGCGGGGCAGAGACCGCGCCAGGGAACGCCGCGGCGCCAGGTGAGCTCCGGCGGTTGGTGCCCGCCGCCTCCCTCGGGAATTTCCGCGCGGCGAGGGGAAGTGCTCAGGGCCGCGGGCCGGGCGCTGGCGGGCCGGGAGGGGAGGGCAGGCTGGAGGCGTTGCAGTCCCGCTTCGGCCGGGGCCTTCGCCCCCGCGCGGAGCCCGCCGGGCTGGGGCGCTCCCGCCGCTCCGTCGGGCTGGGGCGGAGTTTGCTGCCGGCTCCGGCCGCGTTTTCCCCCCTTCTCTCCCCTCCCCACCCCTCCTCGCCGCCCGCGTCGTGGCGCCGAGCGGGAGCCGGCCCGGCCCGGCGCTGACGCTCGGTCGCCGCGGAGAGACGCGGGTCCGGCTCCCGTGCCCGCCGGCCGCCCTGGGGCGAGAGGGGAAACAAAGCGGGGCGGCCGGGGCGATCCGCCGACCCGCTCGGTGCCGAAAGCTTTTGAGAAGCAGCACCGGGAGGAGCAGCAGCCGTGCCCGCCGAGCCGTGAGCGGGTCTGAACAAAGATACGGCCCGCGGAGCACCGCCGTCCCTCTGCTCCCGGTGAGGTGGGCGCACGCCTGGAGCTGGGAACACCAGCGGCTTTTGCTGCAGGAGCGGCTCCTGGGACCTTGGAGTTGTGGAGAAAGTTGCACGGAGAGGCTCAGCTCAAAGCCTTGCTCTGCTTTTGTGCTGCTGTGGGATCGCGACTCAGGCATCAGCAAAGTTGTGCAGGGGGAGCGCTGGAGCCTGGAAGCAATTTACCGAGACAGTGAGATAATCGCCAGTTCTTCTGTTTTATGGTACATGGTGTCCTAGTTTCTTTTTTTTTTCCCCCTTTGGTGAGTATTAAAGAATATTATTAGCCTGAGCCCAAAATGTAACTCATCTTTGACAGTCCATGTCCACGTTTATAAGTTCAAAACAAAGCAGTATTGTTAGGACTAAAATTTGTCCCCGCCCTCTCACGATGTTTTGCTCTTAGACTACTAATTACTTTAAAATTCTGAGGGAGAACGAGATAACAGAGAGAAAGGCCGGGTAGTTACCGTGTGTTTAGTATCAGTAACTAGGTGCTGTTGGCAAAGAGCCATTTGCTTAAAATGTCAGGAGGCAGTTAAGGCTGTGCCCATCTAAGTAATTATTATATGATGGATTGGAACGTCCGTGATTATTGAACAGCTATTTTAAGTTTGGAATTTTATAGCTTCGGTAACCTTAAAGGGGAATTTAGCTGAGTATCCCGTGTTAAGTCTGTAGATCACTGATGTGTTTGGGGGCTTTTGATTTTCTTTGCAGTGGATCATAGTTTTAAGTATAATCTGACTTAAATTTTCCTATGTAGGTGTTCAGACTCTTACACATCAGAAAGTAATTTTGTCATGATTCCATTTGCTCTTAGCAGAAATTAGTAGTAGGCTTCTTAAATGAAATGACGGAGGGACAAAAGATTTGCTATTATTTGGTTGATTATGTGTGGTAACTGGAAAAGCTGTATTTAGCAACTCACAGTATTAAAAGAAATTGGATAGCATCCTCTTCAGTGGCATGGAAAACACTTGGAAATGATCCCAAGTACTTTTTCAAGTGTTTCCTTTAACATTTCTAGGAATACAGTGTTTGATTTTGTGATTTCCCGAGATAAGATGAGACATACTGGAGGTGGGGAGGCTGTTTAGGCTTTTAGTCAGAATATTTCATCTTTTTAAGCTTTCTTTTCAGCAGTTTACATTTGCTGATGTGTCAATTTTCAGAATGACAAATTACACAAATTAAAAAATATGTTCTTTTTTTTCGTGTTTCACTGACCTTAAAGTCTGCTTTGGAATGAGCAGAGCAGGTGACTTTGTGTCTGTGTGAGGAAATCTCTGTCTTCCAAATGGTCGTGGAAGAGAATGTTTTTTCTGACCTTCCTGAATAGCAGTAATCCTGGGTTGAGTAGTTTTTACTTCATATTTGGGTTGTCTTTGGAAACAACTTCCCAAAGTTGCATGGTATATGGTGAATGTTTTGGCCATGATTTTATGGTTCTCCATCACATGTGAAGGTTGAGTTTGTTGCGTATGTGAAGATGGTTGAGTTTGACCCAACAGGCAGTTTATCTTATTCTACAGTTAGCCAGCTATTGCCTTGGAAACATCTAGATGATAAAGAGTTTCTCTGTGCTCTCATCTGGCTGTAGTTTGGTGCAGTTGTTGCATGGCTTCTAGTCCCTGGTTTTATAAAACTTACAGGCAGTTCTGCACATCGTACATGATTGCTCTTCTCAGGTTACATATGTCTGTTGGCTTTTGGTTTTATCCTGTTACAGGGTTTCTTTGCAGAATCTTCTCACTCTTCCGCTGTCCTGAGTACTAAAAAAACCTGTGCAAAAACTTTTAAGTTACTTAAGTTGGCTTTATATAGTAATTAAAGAGTAATTTGTCTTTCAAATAATGATGTATTTAAATATACTTTATATTAATAGAAGTGAAAAAACCACTGCTGGTAAAAGTTTGCAGGGCTGACTTGTCATACCTGCAGCAAAATTCTTGAAGCCTGGCTTTCTGTCAGTCCACTGCTCAGTGTTCAGATTTTCTTTGCCAGCAGTCTAAGGTGAAGGACAAAAATTGTCTTTCCAGTTAATACCTATAAAAACGTACAGAACAATTCCTCATGGTTAAACTGACCTTCAGTGCTGTCAAACATTGTTATCAGTTTTTCTGAAGGAATTTTTAAATGGTTATGGTTAATCTGCAAAACCCTTTAAGACTGAAGTAGATTTTATAACTTGACATTGTCCAGTTTTTCTGCCTTTGTTTAAATTTCAGGTTGGAGATGCAGTGTTAAGCATCCTGTGTGCTCATCAGTGCCAGAGATCTGTTAACTGCACATGCTTTCGCGCTTCCAAACAAGGGCTAGTTCATGGCTTTTCAGCAGTGTAGGCACATTTTGTTTCATCTGTATGTACTAGTCCACCTTGCCCTGAAAGGCAGTGAGCTTAATTGCAGAGGGTGTGTGTGCAGTGATATTGTATCTTCCCTACTTTTTTAATCTATTTTCACCCCTCTGGTGAGAATATGGACACAATTTGCAAGAAAGTTGCTTAATTTTGATACCCTGAACCAATTGATTCCCTTGTGCAGCAACAGTCATGAAGTAGCAAAGGGAGGGCTCTAGCTGGAAGGTGAGTGTACCTCTACTGTTCTGTTTGCTAAAGCTGCAGCTCTGCTCTCTCAAACAGCTCTCTCTGAGAGGTTTGTCAGCTCTGCATCTGGCTCTGGTGAAGCACCAAAGGCATGATGAGGGCGATGCCTTGGGCTCTCAAAGGTTGAATGTGCATAATCTGTAAGTGTCCCACACTGCATCCAACAAGTAGTTTTTCTCTGTTGGGGGCTTTAAAAAAACCAACCAACCAACTGTGTTGTTTTAATGCAGCCTGGCTTTTGGTGTGGGCAGAGGAAGCCACAGTGGCTGCTTGTGAGAGAGGAGCTCCTTGAAACTTCTACTGTGTCCAGCAGAGCCAATCCCTGAAGGCTCTGATGATGGACATATTGACTGGCCTAATTAGAGAAGTTGGTAACGCCTCTGTGATGATATATTTAAGTAAAGAAAAAACCATGTGAGGCAGCTGCCGGGGCCTTGCTACCGGGGGCCATGCCGACACCACAAGTGGCCCCACAGCCAGGACCATGCAGCCAGGGTGAGCACCTGTGCGGCCGGGGCTATCTCAGCATGGTTTGTGGGGAGCTGTGCTTGCTTGGCTGCTTTTAACCAGCCATGCTGCAGGCAGAAGGGCAGGGGCGGTGGCAGCAGCTTCTCCTTTTTGGCGCCTCTTTCACCATGAAAAGAGTGCAGTGCTGGAGGGGACCATGGCTGACAAAGAGGGGCATGATGAGCAATTCTCTGATTCAGAGCCCAGATGGGCTCAGCCTTTCAGCACTACAAAACCCTATAAAACTTCTCAATTGACAGAACTTGAGAGCAAACGAACCTCCAAATGACAATTCTCTCCTGAGTCAGAGAAAAGGAATAGGTGAAGGCACGTGAGGAGAACACAATGGAGACACTAAGGTCTGTGAAAGGAGGGAGTGGGAGGAGGACATGCTCCAGACATCGGAGGTGAGATTTTTCTCACCTCTCAAGCTGTGGTGAGGACTATAATACAACAAACTTTGGAGGGATGTAGAGGTCCATTTGCAGCCCATGGGAAAAGGTGCTCATGCAGAGCAAGTAGATGCTAAAGACTGTAATCTAGTGGGAAACTCAGACAAAGAGAGAAGACCCTTGCTTCCTGAGATGGAGAAAGGACCCTTGCTTCCAAAGTAGAGCAGCTCATCCTCAAAAAACTATGCCCCATGAATTAATGATCCACGAAAAACAGTTGTGAGAAAACTATTTGCCTGTGGGAGGAACTCACATTGCAGCAGGTTGGGCAGGACTGCTACTTGTGAAAATTAAAACCACGCTAGAAAAGTTCACAAAGAAGTGTCTCCCATGAGGAGGACACCATGGCACAGCAGAAAAAAAAAAAAATCAAACTCCTTTCCCTAATCCAATTGAAGATTTTTTAATTGAAGTTTTTTTTTTAAATTGAAGATTTTTATTTTAAAAAATAACAAACTGACTAAAGACTCCCATGCTTTGTCTCTGTGCTGTTGGTGGGAAGGCAGGAGGCGCTGGAGAGAGGAAAAAGGTGTTCTAGAGGTTTATCTTAGTTCTCAATATATCTTTTAATTTTGTTAATAAATTTTCTTTATACTGTTTATTTTGCCCTTTAGTGTTTTCTCCTAATCCTTATCTCAACCTATGAGCTCTTCAGTTTTTCTTTCCCCTTCCTCTTCTCAACTATAGCAGAAGAGAATGAGTGTATTGTTTTTTTGTGGGTGCTTGGTGTTTAACCGGTGTCAAATCATGGCACTAAAAAAAAAAAAAAAAAAAAAAAAAAAAAAAAAGAGGAAGTTGCCTCTTCTTGAAAAATTTAACTTTCCTATGTCCTTTTGTTGCAGTGCAACAAATTTCCAAAAGACTTGCAGTTGTAGAAACAAATCCAATATAACTAAATGTGGAAGTTGTCACTTCTAAATTTGGGAAATTGTTAACCGACTTCACAAAGGATGATCAAAATACTGCATTTAATTTATTCAGGAAACAAATACATGCACACACACACACACACCTGTGTAGGCATTGTTCGTCTGTCTTATATTTGTGTATATTGTGCTAAGTTGAGTATTTTCACCTGTTTATTTTTTATTAGCAAGTTAATGCTCACTAATTTATTTTGATGAAACAGTAGTATTGTTCTTTGGTTTTTTTTTTCCTCCGTGAGAATGCAGAACTGGAATTTGAACTCCAAAATACTCTGTCATAGCAAAAATGGAAAAGTAATATTTTAATTTTATGGTTCTGTGATTTGTGGTATTTCTTCTTAACTTTCTAAGGTTTTCAGATTTTGCGTGTGTGTATACATGTGTGTGTGTATAAAAGAAATGTAGAGAGAATTTGAAGTAGAAATGTTTTTTACTAGCTGTTTTCTAAAGCCTAATGAATTGCAGTATCTGATCACTTTATCTAAAAGACACTAAAAATGTCTCTCTTAATGCATTTTTTAGTTTAAGGATTGGTGAACTCACATTAAAATGCAACAGTTAGGGGTGAAAGTACTGCTTAACCGTGATCTCCTTTTGCAGGTACTATTTATGAGTAAACCTGAGTGATGCGTTTAGTGGTATTTGAAACTTTTTCAAGCTAGTACAAAATCGCTTGGAAATGTCAATTGAGTTAACCCTTGTTGTCTCTGTCTTGTGACCTGGCTTTTGTTAGACTGCCAGCAGTAATAAAGAATGTGAAATTCCATGTGATTAGTGTCTGTTAGAAGTCTTCATCTCTGTCCATATCTTTAGATAGCAATACAGGCCAAAACTGGAGCAATGAAAATTTGTGCTTTTCTTGCTATGCCACAGGAGAGGTGGAGACACTTACATGAAAATGAGTTGAACTGATATTAAAAATCTGGATGTTAAGGTAGAATCTGAAGGTAGGCATGTGGTCTTAATTGGCCTGCTCACTATTCAGAGTGAATGACTTCAGCAGTTCTGGACATAGGAGGCACAATGAAATTCTCCTATGCTTTTCATATAGTTACTGAATAAGCACTTTATATATGCAGTTTTGCTTTTTTAAAATGTTCTTGGTTTATCAGTTGTTAGGTAGGAGATAGTGATCATTGTGGATAGATGGGTGTAATAAAAAGTAATTGGAAGTCCTATGAAACAGCTGGAGAAATTCAGTCTATTAGGGCTACCTTGAGCTCATTGGAGTTTTGGTTTAGAGATGTTAGCAAATAAAGATACCTATAACAATGAAAGTAAAATATATTCTTCTCTCTAAATCTACGCAGTTGTGATTTTTAAGATGCAATTTCATCAGCCTAGGCAAGAAAGGTACCTTATGCAAGTCTTGGATAAGTTAGTGCGTTCCAATGGTTATTTTGTGGTTCTTATTCTGGCAAGAAACTTTGAATGACTATGGAGTTCCTCATTGTGGGGAGCTTTTAGTGTTGTTATATGGAAAGTTTAAGTTCTTTTTGTTATGGCATAGAATAACAATTATAACAAAGCCTATGTTGGTCACTTAAGAATTCACAGTAAAGTACTGTTGTGTTGTAGATAATTTCTTGATGCCCTATATATGGTGAAGGTGAAAAGGTGATTAGCATGACTATCTATTAGACTCACTTCACAAATTGGAAGGAAAGGAAGGAAAGGTGATGAAGTTCAGGTTGTATTTTCAAGTTCAGATTTTGCCATCTTGCATTAGTAGTTTGTGTTACCTTTCTTTGCATTGCTGTTCATGTTGAGAAGGAACTTTTCTTACAAACCTGTCTTCTGTTCCTGGCTGGGGTTTTCTAACTTTATTTTAGCTGTCTTGAAAGTTATTGCTGAGTAAGGGCTGTGAAAACAAGATCAACAGTAATTGAAACTGCTTATCCCCATCTATCTTCTACTTCTGAAATGGCATTCAATGCATTCTTATTCTACAGATATTGTGGAGATTTTGTACAAAATACAATTATCCTTAAAAATATTGTAGTAGTCATAAATCCTTCACAAGCTCTCTTTTCCCACAAATGCAGCATTTATTTTTGTTCAGGTTTTGTAAGAGGTTAGTGTAGGTCTTTGACCTGAGCTTATGAAATGCTGTTATTCAAAGCAAGAAGGAGCTCGAGGACTGTATTTTTGACACCATAGCATTCATCTAGTGTCTTTTTTTTTTAAAGTGTATGCCTCAGAGAGGCAACATGTGCTTTTAAATAGGTATGTTATTTCCTCTCTATTACTTGTTTTTGACTCAGTGTCTGTATATTTTACTTGTAATCTGTGGCTTTTTTTGTAGAAATGCAATTTTTTAAATCATGAATATGTCATAAACATGACACGAGTCTAAACCTTTGATTTGATGTTTCAAATGAAAGAACAGTGTGCTTTCAATAGAGGACTCAAGTTCAGGGTATTTTTATCAAATCTATTTTTATCTGTCATTCTATGCAATCTCCTGTAGTCCTTTTTTTTTTCCTGTGTAAGTTATAGGGAAGCCTGTGCATTACATAGATTTTGTTAAGAGAATGTCCTTCATTTTGCAGGGGTTCAACATCCAGAAGCAAAAAAATAGGAGTACTGTAGTTTAGGTAAAAGAAAAAAATAGTGGTAGTCTATAGTTGGACAGTTGCATTCTGTTTCTTCCTTTGCTGCATTTGTTCTTTTTGTCTACAGCTCAAGATGCTTCTCTAATCACCTACCACTCTTCTATTGCCCCATTATTTTTTGCATCTTAAATATGCTTCTTGCTGCTGCCCCTGAGCTTTTAATTTGAGCTCAGTCTTACTCCATCAGTTTTGCTTATCATTTTTCCTTTTCCTGTTAAAAAGTCTTATTCTCTGCTTCTGTCTTTGCAAGGTCTTCTGGTTCAGCTCCTGCATCCCTGATGTTTGAGTCTGGCTATTTGGGTATGATTAGGATGGTATTAAGAAAACTAAAGATGGTCTTTCTAGTTTTTTTAGCATCAGAGAGATGACTGCAACAAGTCCTGCTGTGTTGCCATAGCAGTGGCTGAAGTAGGCTCATTCATCTTGTGGGAATGTTGTATGTGCTGTGTAGCAGTGGGATAGGAACTTAAAATTATTTGTGTATGCTAAGCACAGATGAAGTTTAGGGGCGGGGGGAAATTAGATGCAACAACTAGCAAAGATTTATTGACTAAATGCAAACTTTTTTCCCCCCAGATCTGTGACATGGCTGTATTTGGAAGGGTTACTTGTGTGGAAAGCATGTTCTTACTCTTCGTGACCCACTGCCAAATGTCTGCACTGTGGTGGAAAGCATGAAAATACTAGTGCGTCCAAGTGGCTAGAAAAAAGTACTTTAAAAAAAACAACCGTGTTCTTGGAAATGGCAGAGCCATTTTTGCTGACTTTGGTATGTAATGCTATCCCTTCCAGCTGCAAAAGTATGCATGTGACTAAGGAGCCTGAACAGCAGAAGGCAAGGTCTTGAGTTTAAGCTGATTCAATTTAGTTGCTTGGACCATGTGCACTTTGAAAATAGTACCTAATGCCTAATGAGTTCCTGTTATTTGTAAATCTCAACTTCACCCAGTTTAGTTACAGACTACTTAGAAGAAACACCAAAGTGCTGAATTCTAGATTCTGTGAGAGCATGTTATGTACACTATTTTCTCTTTCATATTTTTTTGGTAATTTCATTATTCTGGTAATTACTGCAGTATTTCAGTGTTTTGTTGTCAGGATACGAAATGATGTGACTTAGCCAGTGGCAAACACATGTTCTTCCTACAGGGGTGGTTGTGGTGTAGAGCTTCTTCTGTTGGGAGTCTTGTCATACGCGTGCATGCACAGGAGAGATAGCAGCACAGTGCACGTTGCCTTCTGTTCAAAATACTGGCTTGGAAAGAAAAATAGGTGGGCTTTTAATTTCTGTGAATACACATTTCATTGCCTTGTATCAGTCTTTAGAAGGTTTTATTCATCCTGTCTTCTGTATAAATGAAGTTGTTTTTTCCAAGGGACTTAACTATAGCTCCAAAGAATGTTTCCTCCTTATGGCTGTTATGAGCCCAGCTGTGCACTTCTGTAAAGATTAGGTCTGGAATTGACTTATATAATTCAGAACATCTTTGGAAAGCAATGTTATCAGTGCAGACTTACTGAGGAGCTACCGTGCAAGATTGCCTTAGTTTAGCATGTAGGGAAGCTGCACAGCTTTGCCCTTGCTGCTTTTGCATTGTCAAGAGCTGACAGAGGCTTGAGTAACATAATTTGTCCTCTAGCAGAGTAGGAAAGGGTTTTCTCACAGACTTGAGAAGTGTCACTAAAGAGCCAGCTGGGACACAAGCATAACTTTATATTACAGGTTAGATTGATCAACTGGGAGCATATACTTTGAATCAAATTAAGCTGCACTGTGACAACTAACTCCCCTAAGTGCCTTTTTTTTGTTTTGTTTTTCTGTTCCTTGCTGACTGGCAAGTTTAGCTTTATCTAGTTTTTTCTCTGTAAATTGAATTTACCTAAACACAGGGCCATCTTGGTTGTCAGTGGTTGCCCTGAAAGACACTGATAGTATAGAGGTGTCACACAGCTATACTTTGACATGTAATGTCACATGGTCTTATAGGCTAACCTCGCAGCTGCTGCCAGATACTGAAAATCTTGTGGGATAGTTGATGTACATTGACTTGTGTACTTCAGCAGATTTCTCCACAGTTTATTATCACCTTTAAAATGAGTTCAGGAGAGATCCTAAACTTCTGCTATCCATTCTACCTTTTTACACTGTCCAGTAAACAGAACGTTTTGCTTGCTAAACTCTAAGAGTTCAATCTGATTTGTAGCAGCACTTCAACACCCAACATTCTGTAAAAGACATGGTGTCCCCCACAGTTTATAGAATATTCTCAAATATGTGAGGTCTTATTAAATGGCATCTTTCTTACTACTCTTATTTTTTGCCTAAGACTTGCAGGTACTCTTTTGTTAAACTTCATTGAGGAGCACTGCCTATGCCACTGATTTAACAAGATCTGTACTGCAGGTTTTGAGACAGTTTATAGGCATTATATATAGGAAGGTGATTACCGTGTGTGTGTGTGTGTGTGTGTGTCCTGTATGGTTCTAAGTCTTTCTTAAAACTCTTGATTTTCTGGATGGTTAGACAGGTTACTGAGGGATAGTTGCTGCATCTGAGTCACGGCATCTGAGTCACTGCAGCAGTTCTCAAGTACATTTCGATGGAGTTGTGCCTGCCTCCCCTGTTTAGGAGGCAGTTATGGTGTTGTCCTGTCCAGTGCTGACTGGACATGAGTGAGTGTTTGCTGCTGCCATTCGTGTTGTTATTGTTGAGTGGACCACAAAAATGAAAGCATTGATCCTAGCAGGAACATAGCTGTAGCCACAGCATCTGTAATTGAGGTATACATGTATATTGCTGCTAGATTGTGGAAAATCTGAGGACAATATCCACTGTGTTGCTTTGGGTGGGGTGACTTTTTGGGGTTTTTTTTGTGTAGGGAAGGAGAAGAGCAACAGACATCAGTGTACTGTTTAGTATGGTATAGTTCTAGCCATTTGGCTTTGGTAGTTTTCTCCTGTGACTTTACCTTGTGTTTTCATGGACCTGGCAGCTGATCTAGCTAGGTACTGCTGTGTCCTTGAAGGGGATGCAGTTTGACAACAAAGTCTGAGGCTTTTTTAGCACCTTACCACTGCCAGAAGGGGCAATGACTTTTTATGTCTTCCCTCCCTCATTTTGCAATGTCTTTGGACCCCTATGGCTTTTAGTGAGTCTGCTCACCATCACTGGTGGTGAGACACATAGCTGCTTCTTTGGGTGGCAGCAAGCTGTCAGCTCTCTTGGGTAATTGCATCCTTAGAGGGTCTGGAAAGAGTCTTTAAATCAGCAGTATCTCCTTGTCTGAATAGCAGTGATTCTTTCCAAGACACTGGATCTACATGAATAGGCTTAAACCACCTATAGAAAAAGATTACTCTCTTTATTCCCCAAGGCATACCACTGGTCTTTCTTTCTCCTCATCTTTGTTGGTTCTATGGGATTTGATTTGGGAATGCAGACAAGGTGCAGTTTGAGCTTACAAAGAGTAAAGACCCTCTTTAAAAGACTGCTTTTGAGTGCCACTGTTGGTTCTATTCTCAGTAATGTGCCGGACCAAGAGATTTTACTGCACAAAAGAGAAAATCCAGGATAAGTGCTTCCAGATTCTCAATGTAGCCCTCATTTTTTGAAGGGCAAACAACATTACTCAATTGTCACTTGAAGCAAGTCTACCTTCCAGGCTCTTCTGACAAATCAGATGTTTTTCCAAAATAAAAATAAAACAGCTGTGAAGGTTCTTGATGTACTTAGACAAATACCCAGTAATGTGGGTTTTTTTTCTCTTCTTTTTTTTTGGTGTATCTGTTGTGTTAGGCACAGTGATACAGGTAGGTCAAAAGCTTTTCAACTGTTCAACTGCCATTGGAAATTATAAGTGTTTTCTCAGCTCATCTCTTAGACAGCACAAAAGTTCTGGCAAAATGTTTAAAAATGTTTTTCATCAGCAGCTGAACATGTTCCCAGTAATGGTCCAGAGATTAGGATGAGCCCGTATGAGGAACTTCAGAGGATACATGTTCTGTCATTAACTACTAAAACTACAATAGGAAAAACCACCACCAACAAAAACCTGTTTTTGTGAATGTGACTAGTTGTTGAGGTTTGTTTTCTTTAAAAATGTATTTGCTGAGGGAGCAGCTTAAATGTCTTTCCCAGGTTTCTTAATGACTATGAAAATGCATAGGGAGAAACAGAGTCCTACCTATTACTGCCCAAACATTGATGGGGCTAAAAGGTGTTGTTGTTTGTTAAGCAAATAAATTCTGTGTACTAAATATATGTTTGTTGTTTCATATTGAAACTGATTGTTTCTCGAGTTATTAAAAAAATCAAAACACAACTAAGAGTCCCCCAAATCCTTTTTAAAATAAAATATTTTTAATAGAAACAGAACAGTCAAGTAAATGCTACTCTGAGTATTAGTGCAACATGTGTCTAAGAAGCTGAAAGTTTGATTACAAATGCTTCCCGAGTTAAATCTGTTGCAGAAATGAGTAAGGTATCTTTGGCTTAATTTTGCACTTTCTCACTGGAGACTTCTCTGCATGTGTTCTTGATTTCCATCCCCCTTTCCAGCTGAACTGGGGTACTTCTGTGTAGATAAGTCTCTAGACTGTTAGTGTGTTGGAGGAAGAGTGTATTTAGTTGTTGCATTATATTTACAGGGTATAAAGAATGCTTGTAAAGACTTTGTCTTGTAGTTAGGCAAAAAGGAGGCACGTGCTAATTTAATGTGTCACTTACAACTAGGCTTCTGTAATTTTTTGAATGCAATGCTTTTCCTATGTCTATTTAATATTACAATATAATAGATTCATTAAGAAATTAAGAGGCATGACTTTGAACAGACCAAGTCTTTTCTTTCCACATGCACAATGAATTAGTGTTGAAATACATCTGTATTTTTAGGTTGTGAGTTATATGAAGTAGTTTGTGTGAATCACAGTTGTACTTTTGTGATATAGGAAATAGTTTAATGTGTGCATGGCACTTAGTCTGCTTTTTGGAGTTAAGTTCTTCATGAAGCTGTGTTCCTCAGATGGACAAGGACAAATCCTTACCACAATCTACAGTCAGCTCTCTTTAAGCACTTTTATTGGCAGATGCATTCCATTGAAACAAGAAGAGGAATTTAATTTCCTTGGAAGAATAGCCTGGAAAGTTAAACATTTAATTATTTTAAGAGAACAGGGAAATGAGGTAGTGTTGTGTACCTGTGCTAGTGTCTCTGATCACTGTTCTCAGTTTAATATACCTTTATGTCAAATATGAAATAAAGTAAGATATTTCTTTTAGAAAGTAATTCCATTGAGAATGTACAAGTACCAGAAAAATACCATCTTGGCTGTAATGTTATGCTGTCTTTAGGCATTCTTAGGAAGGATTATCTAGAGTTTGGAGAGGGGTGTGGTTTGTTGGTGGGTTTTTTTGGGTTTTGTTTTGGTGGTGGTTTTTGCTTTTTTGCCTTTTTTTTTTTTTTTTTTTTTGTTCTTATCACATTATGGGAAAAATAAGAAAAATTCTATTTTTTTATGCTGTTTGCTCTTTCTAAACCACCAGGTTCTCTCTTCCTAGCTCTGTTTTTAATCATATAAATGTAATAACAGTCCAGCGTTAACTCTTCTGCTATTCTAATGCCTGTGATGCCCCTTTTAAAGTAGTGGAGAAAACAGTCTTTTCAAAGTTAATTAGTTAAATAGTGTGTAAATTTCGATTATATCTTTTACTTTATTTATAAAAATTTCAGTAGTATTAAATTCTTCTGTGTTGTGCAAAATGCAGTGTCAAACTGATGAAGTTGTGCTGTGCAAAGTGATCTGTGAAATGCATTAGCAGCACTCAGTATCTGTTTAAATAATAGGCTTGTGAGAAGAATGGGTAACACCACATAAATGTTTTCAGTTGCTGCATGTCTTGGATTACTGATACTTTGTCAGAATTTTAGGATTTCTGTTTTTCTAATTATAAGTGTGTTGGAATTTATGGGATGTCTGTGTCTAGAAAGAGTACAATGGAGCAAAAGGTTACTTTTTCAGGGGAAAAACAAATTTGAAGAGCTTCTGTATTCTGTTTCTGCAATCTGTTTTAGTGTATTCACGACCTCTGTTATAATAAGTGTGAACTCAAAAGCTACTCCTTAATTTGGTATCTAGGTTGTGTCTATTTAAATAATTTTCTGTGGATGTATGTAGAGAGTAGAATTCTTCATCTTGTCTTGAAACTGCCTCAGCTATAAGGTGTCCTGGGACTTCTAGGGTTGAAACATGTTTGAGTACAGCTCGTGGAATTTTCAGCTTCTGTAAAGCATTGCTGAGGTTTGAAGATGTAGAGCAGAAGGGATGTTCTTGTGTTTTGTGTATAAAAGCATCTGTACTGCGCACTACTGCATGATTTACACTTTCTGGGGCCAAAGCCACTTGTGCAAATCAGAGTGAAAGCAACAGACCACAATTTCCTAAATTCAAATGTGGTTTTTGTGGTCTTACCTGTTCTAATTTCACGCAGATTTTGCTTGTTGAAGACATGAAATTTTAAAGGAGCAGCTTGACTTGGGTTGGGTTTCCTTTTGCTTAGTTTGCAAAAGATGGAGGCCTGGACAGTGGCTGTTGTGACAACAGAACTTGCCCGCAGCTTACAGCATTGGCTGCAGTTCGGTTGGTGCTAGTATTAGTGCTGGTAACCAGCCTACAGCTGATGCCATGTATTAATGATATCTTTTGAAATCATTTTAGATATAAAAATGCGATAGCAGTGTAGGGGGGAAATCCCTTAAATCCAGGCTTTTCTTTCTTTGTCCTTTCACTTTCCCCCACTCTCAGTTGGATTGATTGCCATGTTCCCTTTGGGGAATCAAGTAATTTGTGATAGGAATATTGAAGCCAGTTTGGATTCTAATTGCAGGTTTCTAATCAGTTTCACAGTTTTGACCATTTCTTTAGCAAACTGCCTGTGTTTTGAGACTCACAGATCTGAGTCCTGATTTATTGGGTTGCCTAAGAAAATGAGAAGTATATGTGATGGGAATATGCAGCAGAGTTGCTTTTCTTAGTATAAAAAAATGATAATTAAAACACTTCTGCTGCCAAGATCAAGCAATAAAAACTTGATCAGAAGAAAAGCTTGGGGGAAAAAATTCTGTGTCTCCCTCTTCTGGATGTCTTGGTGGTAAAGTATTGTAGTTTCTGAGTGAAACAGGAGGAAGTTTAGTTGAGGAGCTCTGTCCTGCTGCTTCGTCTAGCAAAACAAAGTGTCTTGTCGAAGTGTGAGAGTAAACCTCAGCTGGTTTGCTTCAGGTTTGAATGCTTGAGTAGCAGATCTTGGTAATCTCCGATTTCTTCAATGTCTTCTGAAGTTTTAGTTTGTCCTTTTAAATACTAATAATTTTTAAAGCTTCATATAGTTTTGAAGAAACCTGTTGTTCCCTCTGGGGCTTGGGTTGGAGTTTTAGATGTGTATACTATCTCTGCTGTGACTACAGAAGTTTTGAAATGCGGGAGATTCAGTCCTTGGTATAGATAATTTTTTCAAGTGTGTTTCTTTCTACATGTATTAAGTAAGCTTCCAGAGAACATATACTTGCTATTTCTTATGTATGGTCAAATTCTTTCAACTTTTGTGATGTGAATCACTGGGAGGTACTTAATCTGTGCTTTTTCACAGAGCAGTTAAAAACTGCATCCCCATTCATGATGCTGCACTGCACCTGTGCTTGTAACCTGTCCCTTGTTTGATACAAATTTCTCTACATTTTTACTAGTTTGAATTATTTCCTTCTTGCTTTTGTCATACAAATATAAGCTGCTTTCATTTTTCTCACTTGCCACTACTACGGTGACTCTTAAGCTTGTAAAACAACCAACTCTTCTGGTGCCAGAGTGTTTAAAGTTTGTTGCTTCAACTATTTGCATAGGGCAGTTTGCAGGTGTTAGTTACTGCAGTGTTGCATGGGGTCGTTTGCATGGAAACTTCACAATATATCTCATTTTTAAAAATAAAGGCACCAGTGGTAGTCTCAAAACACTGCAAAAACTTCGCATCTGTTGAACAAAAGGAAATTTTGAAATTGGAAACATCAGTTGCTAGACAGCAATAATGATACTTATAAATTGTAAATGATCTCTTAACTTCTAATACCATGTATTTCTACTCTACAATAGAGAATACTCACTAATTTTTTTATTTTCAAGTTGCAATCTAAATGAACCGTTTCTATGTTTTCCAGACTACATTTTGTAAGATGAAGAACAGAAAGCAATGTATTCAAGACACTGAGGATCAGACTTATGAAGACATGGAAGGTAAAATTTGTGTGTGTGAAAATATTGAAGCATATTATTCAGGTTCAAGCTGTGAAGGTCTGATATTTTTCATTTGCTCTCTCAATTAGTATGCTGCTTGTTTTGAAATAAGTTGTGTAAATATAACCACTCTCTCATAATATTTAGTGTTGGCGTGTGAGGTCCCCAAATAATTTCCTGTCTCTTCTCTTTTTATTACTTGTTAACTTCTGGTAGCAAAACAAAAATGTTGATAGCAATTGCTATTCAGAGAAAACAATTATTCAGAGTAAAATTCTTTGAAGAAGAGTTCATACATTTTTGTATTCTGAAAACACTTTCCAACTCTAACAAAATCGGGAGCATTATTTATTTAATGTATATGATTAGGTAAATATTTGAAGATATTCAGATTCTGATAATTCTAAGACAGAAAAGCTGAAGTAAAGGTAGACCATATGTATATAACATAATATAGAATATGCTGGTGTAATTTAAGTCATGGAGTGAGTGTAAACACACAAGGAGAAAGAATGTAGGAGAATTATGTCTAAATGACTACATAACCAAGAGAAAACACTGTGATATCTGCTTTATTGAAATATCCCTGCAATTAACTTTGTTTTGATGGTAAAGATTGGTACAGAAGGCTATGAAATAAGTTGCTTAGCTTTCTTCATCTGAAACACAGTTTTCTCTAGTTAGGAGCAAGTTGAATTCAAGTTTTCAGGTCTAATGCTTCCAAGAAGCTGGCCAGAGGAGTGCTTGAAAGAATTCTTACTTTTTTATTATTCAAATCTAGAAGGACTTTATTTCAAAAACTGTCAAAACTTCTAATAATACCAGGTGAAGAAAACGAGGAAAGTTGTTCCTGTTCTACATTATTGTATGATGGCAACACGTGCCCCATCTGTCTGAACTGCCTTCTAGAACAAGAGATTGGGTTTCCTGAGAACTGCAGTCACACCTTCTGCATGACTTGTATTCTTAAATGGGCTGAGGTAAGACTGAGCACCAAGGTGTGTTTTTATTTTTCAATGAAATCTATTGCATCTAATACCTACAGGTTTTTTTTTGTTTGTTTGGTTTTTTTAAGTTACAGATTTTGGCTTTGCACAGAAGTGTTCAGTGACCAATTTGTAAATAGATTTTGGAAAACTTTGTTATTAATGCGATTAAGTATTTTGAGTTTTCTTTCACTAGGCAATAACTTAATAGTTGCTAGAGATTAGGGATAAGTAAACAGAGTGGTGGGTGGCTGTTTGGAAGATCAGACAGTATTATGTACATGCTATAATATTGCATTGTTGTTAGCTTAATCTTACTTTGTGATAACCCTAAGGTTGTTTGTCATAGTGTCAACTCAGGGCTGGGACCAATATGTATTCATGTGAGTCTACAAAATGAGTGATACAACCTTAGTTTTCTACCTGTAAAAAGAATTCAGCTAAAAGCTTTACTGCTGTAGTGAAAAAAAAAATCATTTTAATGGTGGCTGGTTTTTGTTCTAGGTCAATAACTTAGTAGATAGTTCTGGAATGTTAAAGAAAAATTACTTGTTGAAGAAATCCTCGATGACCTTGTTCTATTTAGTCTGTTTTCCCTCAGCTATGTTATGCAATAATTGCATTCAGTCTGGTGTCTTTACCTTTTCTGTAATTTTTTCAATTCAATTTTTTATATTTTCAGTATAAAACACCAAACTAATATTGCTTTGTACTGGGATGAGTGGAGGTTGCTGCCTTGTGTCCTGCTTCTATGGACTTGAATTCGTTTGTCACTTTAGTGAGACCACTGTTTGGTTTCTTTCATTCTTTTGAAGTAAATGATGATTTTGGTTGCAGTGTTCCCTTTAGAGCATTGGTATCATTTGGTTGGTATGTATATATGCAATATGCTTATTCTTGCTATGTTTTAACCTTAATTTTTGCGCTATTTATTACTGAAAGCCAGTGGTAACACAATTTTCTGAAGAATTTATATGAACTTCATATAAAAAAAAGTATTAAAAAAAGGTTATTACATTAAAATTGCTTTAGATTTACAAACCAGATGATAAACGAAGTTTCCTGTTGCCAGATTTTCTGTTTTGCATTTGATTCATTGGAGCAATTTGATTTGTAAGGGAAGAGGAAATTCTCACCTGTAATTTTACCCTGAGTGACTTAGCTGGTTGCTATAATGACAGCTGAAAAGCATTAAACAGTGACATGCACAGGGAAGCAGTACAGTATATTGGCTCGCTGCTGGATTCGAGTTTATTCACATTGTCTAACAGATGCTTTTAAGCCCAATAAGGAAGAGAAATTTTCTTGTTCTAAAGGGGCAGGTGAGTGATACGACATTTTTCTTGTCATGGTAAATTTTTTTTTGTGGTCTGAGGTGCTATTCAAATAGAATAAAAGCAACTTGTCTTAAAAGTTGACAGGTAAAGTAGATGTGATGCCATAAAAAAGATGTGGGGGTGTTTCTAAAGCTGCATAAGGCTGCTCCTGCTTTTCATCAGCAACATCAGATAGGTAAAACCAGCCAGGTTCCTTTTCTGAGGTTACTTGACAGCCAGGCCTGTTGCGTTCATGGAACTCCACTGCCTAATCTAGTAGTTTTAATTAAAAGTAAAGTGACAAAATAAGTGTTGAAACCTGGGTGACAGTTCAGAGGCTTCAGCTGTGAGAAGCAGATGAGGTTCTGTAGATTTGAATGATACAAAAATATTATAAGCATGTCACCATTTAAAACATGCTGATGCTGCATGCTTTTTTGCCTGTTACTAATATGTAGTAACTGAATGTGTTCTTTTCTTGAGAAATGTTGCATAGGATTTTTCTGGCTCATGATTAATTATAATCATAATTTAAGTAATTCTGAGTAATGAAGATATAAAAAAGATACAAAAATTACCTGCTGTTTAAAAAATACACTGCCTGATTCTGGGTAAAGATTATTTTTTGGAGTATAAACAAATTTATTTTAGAAATGGTATTTTCTTCTTTAAGTGCTGAAGAAAAACAAAATTGAGAATTAAATTAAATTAAAAAAAAGAAAAACAAGCTACTGATATTCACATTTTTTACATGTTCTTTTGTATATCTTCAGTTCTGCTCCATACACTTAGAGGCTTTGCCAGCAGTCTGTGTTCAAGTTGGGTATTTATTTTATTTTTCTGTGTTGCATCTGGACTACAAAATATAACAGGATAAGCTGCTTCTTTAAACTGTTGTTTTCAAATTGTACATAATCATTGTTCTCCTGAGAGTTTATGGCTTTTTAATGTAACTATGTAGACTCTAATCAAAACCAGGATAGTTTGGCAAAAGATAAGAATTTTACTGTTCTGCTCCCTCTTCAATCTACAGGAGATTTTCAACATTGCAACTGCGGTAAAGTGTCCTGTACCAGCAGATCTTCTGTCTGAAAGCAGCAGTTATAACATTTTGAACCTCTTACTTTTTAAGAAGTGAGAGAATATAGATTAAAAAAAAAATCACTTAAAAGCAATAAAAAAGCAGTATATAAAAATTGCCTTTATTCTGAAGGCTAAAGAGGGGTAGGAAACTTGCCATGGAACAGGTCTAATACATTTGATCCTGTTGGCGAAATCTGAACATTTAGTTTCAGAATTAAATAGCATTACAGTTGAGTCAGTACTGTGTTTTCTTTCCCTTTGAAGAAAGAGGTCTAAAGCCTAAAAGAAAAGTGAGGGGCAGACCAAGAATCCCCACAAAGGAGTTAATCTTCAGAGTAATATGTTTCTTGAATTGTTCTGCTCTCTTTGGCTGTGTTAATTGTGGCATTTGAGAGCGTTACTTTGCACAAAATCAGTTGCCTATACTATTGAACTCTTCTCCTAGTAGGCTGTCAACTTGTGTGCTTTTGGCCATGCTAACTAGTGCTCTCCCAGTCACTGCTGGGGGCTGTTCTCAGCAGGCACGTGAAGATTAACATAAATGTTTGTTATCCTGTGCCAGCTGTCAACCACTGCTGTAAACCAACATGGTGTAATTTACTAACAAAGACTTTCAAGCTTGAGGCTTTGTATTTCAGCGAGTCTGTGCTGGAAGATCATAAAAAATAAAAGGTGCTAAATCAGGAGCTGAGTTTACTGGACACACCCTTCAGTGGGAATGTAGAAGGACAGTGTAAGTGAAGGGTTGCTTTCAGTGTAAAGAGCATGTATGTGGTAACATTATTCCGGCCACATAAAAAAAGGTGAGAGGGTCTAGCCAACAACAAAATTCCTCTATCTAGGGTCTTTAAACACCACCAGTAATGTCATGTTACACCAAAGGAAGCAATTACATTGTGTTTCTGTCATCTGTAATACTATTAGTACATTAAAACTACTTAGACCAAAACTAATTTTTTAAACTTTTTTTCTGATAAACTTGTATTTTGTATTTTCATTGGTAAGCACATGTTTTAGTTTGTAGTAATTTGTTCTGAAAGGATTTAAGTGAAACTGATACAAAGAAAAATTAACTAGGCGTCTGTGGCAAATGTGCACAAAGTAGATAACACCACCTCAGCTAAGACAACTGCTTTAGCAGCTGTGGTGTCTTGCCTGTATGCATTAGAGAAAAATATCTCTCTTTGTTTTTCTATTGTATTCAAAGAAAACAGTCTTAGAAACAATAAATATTTACTGTAGGCTTTTTAACTTCCTTTCTGTTCTTCAGCATGCTAAGAAATGTACTGGAGATTTCTATCTCTGTTCTTCTATTAATTCCTCTTATGAACTGTCATGAGAGATGAGTGTTGAAGAAAAGATTTAGTGTGTTGTCTGCATTATTACAATGTTTGTTTAACAGACATTGATTTCAGTGACCCTCACATATCAAACTTATTTATCTCATGCTCTGGTTCTGGTTTCCCGCATTATTTTTTCCCCATCTGGAGAGTTTGAAGTGGAGTATGTACAGTCATAAATTCTCCAAATTGTTGGGGCATATTCAGGTAGGCCCTGTACAAGATCTGTAGTTGACTAAATAAAACAAAGCAGTTGGCGCCAAGAGCTGTCTTGCAGTATGTTTCTAGTGGATGTTCTTATGTTAATGTTCAGTTCTTAGAGTAATTGTTGTCTTTGTGCTCATACAAGGTTTGGATCATAGTGTGTGTGGAGTATGCTATTGCACATATATATTCTTCTGAGGTTAAGGAGAGTTACCTGTATGATAACTGGGATTCTTAATGGGTATGCTTTCTGATCTGGATTCTTTTTTTCTGAAGGATATAGGAAGGAATCAGCATAAGTGGCAACAACCTCCACAGTGATCTGCAGTACAGTGCACTGTGGGCAAGATTTAAGATGACACTAATGAACGAAACATAGATTGTGTTCAGAGAAACACAACCTAGAACCACAAAAATAACAGTGGAAAAAACCTTATTGTTCAAGTATACCCGAAGTGATCTCTACGTAGACAGTTCGTCTGAGAACTGATGTTCAGAAAAACTGTATTAATCAAATTGTTTTGGAAAGTGTAGATTTTAGATATCTTTTTCCAAATTACACGTTTGCTTTGTAGTATACAGTTGTTCTTGGCTATTTCCCTGCTTAAGCAGGGGGTTGGGCAAGATGACTTCCAGAGATCTCTTCCAACCTCAACTACTTTGTGATTTTGCAAGAACATTTGTGTAGCTACTTATGAATGTTAATGCTGTTGAAGCACAGTGCAAAAGTGAGTGGTTTTCATTTTACTCCAGTTCTTCCAATAGTGTCAATACAATTAAACTTAATTTGTCAACACTTTATGGCAATTTTGGATTAGAATTTAAGACCTAGCCAACTGTGTCATGTAGCTAGAGAGAAGAGAGCAGTTTAGACTTGTAACTAAGTAGTCTACTGATCATGTGTTAAAACTCTAATCTGCTCTTTTGCACTCTGTATCCTTATTATGAGTGATATTTCCCTCCAAAAAAGACTTGTCAGAAATAGTGCTTTCTTAAAGTGTAACTATAAAACTTTTAAATGTACTTGCTTTTTAAAAGTAGATTGAAAAAAAAATAATGGTAAGTTTTTCCATGCTTCTAGAAAATAGTGCATTTTCTGATGTCTTCCTACTTTCATTAAAATGTGGTGTTTCTCACTACATGTGGTGGAATGGTCTCCCTGTTCACTGAAGCTGGAGGTGTTACTGTAGGCTTTTTGCTGTACTGTTATTACAAGGTGAAGTGAAATATACAGATATTTCTTTAACAGTCTAAATCTCACTTAAAGTCTGAATTTAGTTAGGAGAATCTGGTATTATTTGTGTTTAACAGATTATCTAAGAGTGCAGGATCATATTTCTTTTTGTGTCAGCTTTTCAATACAAAATTTGGAGAACAGACTTTATTATGAGCCACTTGAAGAAAAAAATGGGGAGGGATTTACTGCAGCAACTTGAATTCTGTACTTGCGTCTTGTTACTGCTTGCTATGAAACCTCATAACATGGAACTTGATGAGATGGGGGTATCTGTCAAAGTTATTTTATCAGCCAAATATGTTTTGGGGTTAGCTTGCACCTGTTTGTATAGCTTTCTGAAAATTCCTGGCTGGAATATAGTAACTGCTTCATCCTTTTGCTTATCTTACTTTGTTCATATGCTGTTTGAAGTGATGCAGTTAAAATTGGGGACTATTGCTCCTTGAATTTAGAGAGCACAGTTCTGTGTTGCTCTAGCAGTTACAGGAATATAGAGATTAAGTTATGCCTGTGGAGCTAAAGTAAGATTTTTCTGGAGGGTCATAAAAAACAAATAAAATACAATTTTTTTTTAATCTGAAGAAGAAATATATTGCTTGTGGATAACTTTCCAGGGCTTGCAGATTTTTGTGAATGCTTATTTATTTTATTTTATGAAGCGAATTTTTTTTATTATTCGATATCACAGGATGGATGAGAGAATAAATCACTGTAGAGTTATCAGGTTTAACAGGAAAACTCTCAATAGTTTCATATGGGGAATAAAGCAAAGATATTTTGAAGTGTGCTGAGCTACTAGTGTGTGCTTTTCCAAGGAAAGAACTGTTCGGAAGCAAAGAAAGCAGGCCACTAATACCCGTGCTGAGGTTCTAATGATATTGATGATTACATTAAATACTGCACGTTCTGATTTTTAAAGCTATGGTAAAAAAAGATATTGTAAAAATCTGTGATTCTTCTAAGGTTTTGATGCATTTCACATACCTTCTCCCTTGTGCACAGTAAAAGTGGTAGCTGCTCGTTGGGCTTGTTCCATCTCAGCATCTTGTTCTTGTTTTCAATGCTCTTTATCAAAAAGTACAGTGTACATTCACTGTTACTTACAATGCTCCCTGAACGGAAACCTCAGAAGAGTAGAATTGCTAACCTGCGTGTGAGGAAAGAAGACTCAACACCTTTGTTACCTGAACCATGTTCTCAAAAATTATGAAAGATGAGTTAAAGGTCACCACTCCTCATAATTGCTTCTTGTAATGAATGTTGGCTTTTTTTATCTTTATTCCTTTCTGTAGCAGTATAAATCCTGTCTTGCTGTTGGGAAAAGGGACAGGGGAAAAACTTTGGGTTTTTTCTTCCATTTTTTCCAACATTTTAAAGGTTTGCTTTTTTTTTGTTAGCTGATGCATGTTTAGACAGAAGTAACCCTAGTTGTTGGGTACCCAACAACTGTACTCCACCTGAGGACTGGGGATGTACAACCAAATGTCCTGAGTTTACTGGAATTTCTCTAGTGATAATGTTGTCAGCTTACAGAAAATGCTAAGGCTACAAAAAGCAACTGAGTAGGAGGGGAAAGAGCATCTGCTGTTTCTGAACATATCTGAACCTAATGGTAGTTTTTGACTCTTCCAGAATGCTTTCTTCCCTTTTTACTACTGTGTAAAACTGTATTAAGTTGTTAAACATTTGTTCAGAAGAATTGAACATTGAACATCTTTCTAGTGGAGCAAAAACAGCTGTTATTTGGATTTGCTGCTGGTAACATTATTCTATGATACTTTATTGCAATGAATAAACGTAACTTGCTGTGACTTAAACTTGGGAAGATAACTTGAGATTCATCTGTAAATTTAATGTAGGAAGAGACTCTATTGAATAAACATTTCAGCTGAGGTAGATTCTGAAACGAGAATAAAAATAGCTAAGAAAAATAACATCCTCCTATCTTTTACAATCTGGTATATCTAAGAATGAAAGTATGTACCTTGATATTTGCAGTGGATTCAGAAGCTGCAGTACATTGCATGCTATCAAACATCCCGATGGAACATTGCACTACTATGTCACCGTGGGTTAGCTGTGCCTTGACTACAGGACAAGAACTGTCTTCATGATCTGAGTCCTTAGGGAACTGGCTTAATTACCCAATATGGTTTTCTTATCTGGGGCCATGACACTGCAGAGAACAATGGTATCCCCCAAAAGAGGAAGTTTTTAGTTAGGACAAAATACCAGAGCATCAAAGGGTAGGTGATGGCTTTAACTACCCCTGGGAATATTTTTTTTGTTTGTTTGTTTGATGGGTTTGGGGTTTTTTTAAATCAATCTTGTTTGGTTCTATCTACTTCAGTTGAAATCAGAAGCTCAGAAACTTCCTGAATGCTCCATGTTTGGGGGCTGGTATGCGAAAGAGAAGTTGAGCACTCCTTGAAATTGAGAAACTAACAGAGTTAACTGGAAAATTAGAAGGCCAGATGAAAAGACAGGAATGAAGTGCATGACTGGATTTTGGGGCAGAGTTCATATGCAGGTTTTTCCTAGCTGCTTATGTAATTCTAGTACAGCATCTTGCTTGCATAGAAACCCTGTAGCTCTCTAAATTGCAGAAATTATATGCCTCTTCAGGGCTTGCAGTTCATCTTGGTCATTGAATTAGTGCTGGAGACTGGGTGTGTGTTTTGGTTTTTTAATTTTGTTTTACAGTGTTGAACTTAGCCTCTGAAGGCCAGTGGAATTAAGGTGGGTGTGGAGGGTGTAATGATGACAAAACCCCCAAACCAAACAAAGAACCGCGCCCCTACAGCAAACATATCTGGAATTAAAAAGAATAGAGTTCTCTCACAGCAAAAGTTAATATCTAATGTGGATTTTTCTTAAAGCTGATTCACTACATGATCCACTTACGTGGCACTTCAGTTGAAATTTCCCATTTCTGTGCTTAAAAATGTGTTATTGTTCTGTGTGTGTGTTCTATCTGATGTAGTGCATCCTCAATAAGAGAGCATTTAGGTGATCAGGGAAAAACAATAAATGGCTATTTCCATCAAACAGTAGGATAAAATAGCCTTCAGTTCCCTTTTCTTGAAAATTGGTTTGTAAAATTTTAGATGCGTCACTTGTCTGTAATCTGTTGTCTGCTGACAGCAACAGAAGAGATGTATTATAACCACTGTTTGCTTTTTGCATTACCAGTTTTATGTTTTGGGGGAGACACAATGCAACACATGTCCCATTGAAAATAGAATTAAGAAATAAAATGTTAGAACAATATGAAATGTAGAGGACATTTGCACATGGTTATGCTTTTCAGTGTGTTATCAACATTAAGCTTACATGGAATCCAAAGCAGTGTACCAGCTATTAAGAATAATTAACTTTATCCCAGCCAAAATCAGGACACATTGGTATAAAATCAGTTATCTAAAAGGAATTAAAAGACCAGAAAATGAAGGTAACTTGATGTAAAATGCATTAAATGTATTTCCTTTTTTAAACACAACTTCTGGGTTTTATTGTGGTTTCCTTTATTTTTTTTCCTGAAAGAGCAATCTGCTTATATAAAACAAAATACTGAGTGTATGGATAATGTGTCCAAATGCATTCTTACTGTGAACAAATTGGGATTTTGTGTGCTTCTGTAAGCTACTATAATAGTGAATAAAAGTTTAGAAAATTAGGCTTCTCTTAGCTCATTACCAAGTTTGTACTAAGAAAAATAATTTTTCAGATAAAGGCTTCATGTCCTGTTGATCGCAGACCATTTCAAGCAGTGTGCAGGCTGGATGCATTGGATAAGCTGATAAAGGTATGTTCCAGACTTATTTTCTTAAATAACTGCCCTGGTAGGAATGTCCAAGTTATGCTGCAGCCTTTCATTCATATAAAATGAATTGAGTTGTGTTAAATAAGCTTTTGTAACAATGTAATTACTATTTCAATGTTCCTGTTACATATTTGAAGCTAGGAATTATTCTTAATTATTTTTTCAGAGCAAGTATTTACCATAGTAATAATAATCATAAAGCTGCTGTTGCTACTTTCTAGTATCTTTGAGCGTTCATGATATATCCAAGAACAGAAGTACAGTAATTGGTCTCAAAGGGTTTTTTAAACTAGGTTTTGTAAACAACTGCTATACCAATTATCCTGCAATATTGCCTTTTTTTTTTAGCTGAGGTAAATCTTCTATGTTCACAGCCTCCGATTCTCAGACAAAAACACATGAAGGCAAGAGGAATCAATTAATGTTAAATGTTGTTCAGCCAAAATCTGATTTTTTTTCAGTTCTGAATTCTTCTTAAAAATACTGATATGCAGAGTAGTTTATCAAGTAGGAAAAAACCTCTTCTGATTGCTGATCTTGAAAACACATATAGAAAGATGCAGGTAATTCCACGTACAATTTGGAAATTTTGTGATGAAATTATTCTTATAAGTAGTTCATAAGCTGCTGGTCTTGCACTTTGTGACATTTAGATACTTCTGGAGGCCCAAGCAGTCACCTGTGCAGGAGCCGTGCTAGACATGCTTCCTTCTCCTAGGAAACTGTGCTTGCTTTTTTTGTCTTCTTGATTTCTGAAGAATCAGGGAAGAAGTTGAAATGGGAGAAACTGAAGTTTACATTTGGAAAAGCATAAAGCTATATCAAAATACAGTTTGAAAGATTGTCTGTTCACAGAATTGCAGTGTAAACAGGTGGGCAGAGGAAAAATGTCCTTCCCTGAAAAAAAGGCACTGGAGCTGTAGAAATAGATGGAATGTGTACCAAGATATACAGACACAGTGGTCAGCATCATCAGTAGTGCTATCAGGAGACTGGCAGCTTTCTCTTTGTGATATTCAGAATTAGAATGCTAATATGTTAGGGGGCTGCATAAAAAAGCCAGATTTTGGGGATGAGGAAATATGAAGTTTCTAATGCAAACAATTGCACTGTAGCCATTGAAACAACTTCACAGTGTGAAATAAAAGTTGTATTGCTCTCAGTGTTTTTGAGATGTGAAAAAACCTCAGTGTTGTATAAAATACATGAATTATTTTACTCTAGAAGAATATTGGGTGTGTTTTAATTATGAGGAAGCATATTAAGTTGAGTGGTAGTTCAGCATTTTCCCAAGGTGAACCTTGTGTATTCTGAATGACCAACTTAGTTTTGAAAAACCTATAGATTCTTAATGGAAACTAATGCATAGCTCTGAGACACTTGCCATGGCAGTCAAAATGTTCGGGGCTTTTTTTGTCTTGTGAACTTAGTATGCATCTCAGGTATTGTTAATAGCATATCAAGGTGTAGGTTTTTTTCTATTTTATGAAAAACAAGTGAAAAAAATCTCCAAACTGTGAAGTCAAAGTCGTGTCTACTTCAAAAAATAACTAAGATTTTATATGTTTTCTAGTCCTTCTGTTTGGGTTTTATTTCTGTACAGACCTGAAGAGACTTTGTATGAATTTAAAGCCCAAGTGTCATGACATTCTAGATTGGATTGATTCTATTTTACAACACAGGTTCAGGTTACAAAACAACTAAGGAGGAAGGAAGAAGAGGAAAACTGTGCCTGCAATAAGGAAACTTACAGCCGTGTGAAGATGAGAAGTTTTGTGAGGTTGGTCTGCCGTGTAATTTCTAGCATTTGAATTGGAATATTCAAAAGAAATAATATCAACTGGTTTAATATGTACAGCCTGAAAATTTTGTAAAATTATTTTTGTTTTAAAATAGTTTTCATGAGTGGTAGTTTAATTCTACTTTTATCATTGCTGTAATTCCCACTTGAATAATTAAAATAGCAAGGAAGAAGTAAAGGGCAATGTATTTCTTGCATTGAGCTCTGTGAAAGTTGCATTTTTCAAGCAATTCTGAAAAATTTTACATTCTTTTGAAGTATGGCTACATCAAATTCTAACAATATAAATATTTTTCTTTGTTTCTCTAAACAAACATCCACTTTCCTTTCATGTTATGATAAGTACTGGTGATGTTCCTGTTCTGTAAAACATAGTTGTAGTCAAGAACTGGTTTTATTCTAGTAAGCTTGAGAGGGAACATTTCTGTTGTTATATGGAAATAACATTTCTGTTTTGGTTTGGTAAACTTGTTACATTTATCTGCATTCATCTTTATCTTGTAACATTTACTCCATTGTATAAGGGGAAGCTCAGGATTACACAGATGAACTTTGCTAAGTAGTGCTTATCTAAAGTCAGTGTTTAATGGAATGTATGAAAAATACAGAGTTCTTGAAGTTTAATGTGAAGCAGACTTCATTACAGCAAAGATAACTGGAGGTAAATTACTTTTTTTAACTCATAAGAAAATAAGATTCACCATTCTGAATCTACACTGACTGATGTTCTTAAAAGGAGGCAGGTTATAACATCTTTCATGTGTTGCCATGAAATCAAACAAAACTGAGCATTCTGATTTAATACAGGATATTAACTTTTGTGTAAATTTGTTTTCTTTTTTTTTTTTCCTAAGCTGTTTGAAGCACTATGGCTTTTGAGTTACAAAAGATGATATTCATGATGCAATTTCAGGTTTTAATAGCAGTTAGAACTTGGTTTATTTGCACAAAATAAAAGTACTTTTAAATAGGAGAGGATTTTGTTTGGATGCTTAGAAACTGCTTTTTTAATGTCTTTTTTTTTTGATCTTGCAGAAGAGCTGTATGTCCAGACAGAGGGCCAGTAACAATAAAATTGAGCAGAATTGTGAAGAAAAAATACAGTAAGTTGGTGTTTGCCAGAATTGCTGTATTTTATTAAGGAACTCTAGAATATCTTTTCTTGATGAGCTAATTTAATTTTTAAAATTCCTTACATTTGTATATAAAACTCAAATTCCAAGTAGTAGAAATGTGGAACTTCTAGAGCAGAATTGCAGTATGTGACACTCCTGTTTTTATATTACTGGAAAAGTGCCTCTTCAGTTTCAGTCATAACTCAAATGGATGTGGTTTCAGCCTCAAGTAATTTTCTGCATCAGGCAGCTGGGGAACAGCAAATGCCTAGCTTTTATTCACAGAAGTTTTTTTTTTGTGAGAGTTCAAACACAAGCAACATTTAGCTGTGTTTTGGCGTTGCTGTTCTGAGGGGTTTATTCAAGAAAAGTTGTTTGATAAGTCTATTCATAACTTAGGAAATGAAGAAAATATCTGAAGAGGTAAAAACTGCTTGGTATCTAAAAAGCTATTGTGAAGGTGCGTGCATTTTCATTTTACTCAGTTTGTATGTAAACATTGTAAATGCACTCAAGATACACATTTTGTTAACCTCCCATTGCATTAATGATTTTGATGAACAATCAAGAACTAATATGCTAAAGTTAAGATCAAAGTTTTGTTCCTTGTTCCACAGGTAATATTTTGCATGACAAACAAAACAAGAAAGCTTTCTCTGTGAAGATAAACAAGGTTGGTTCTGATAAGGAAACATTTGTAAGTGCTTTCTTTTGTTAGAGCATTTTAAAGACTACCTTCCTGCTTATTTTTAAGGTTAACTTCTATTTGTTAATTTTGGTATGATTCAAACTCTTTTATTTTTCTCTTTTTGTCTTGAAATAATTAGAATATAGTGCCAGGTTATATGAGCTTCTTTCTCAGATTAAAATTAGTTTTGTGGTGGTGGTAAATATTTTAATTTACATTACATTATAAGATCCTGAACCCTGTTTTCATCCATCTCCTTTCATCCAAAGGAAGATGGTTTCATGTACAAGCTGTCATTCAAGCACCATTATATGAAGGTTTTCATTATTTTCAATAAAATATATAGACGTAATCAACCAAGTAATTTATGTGAATGTGGCATAGACATTATGGTTTGCATCAAATTGGAGTTTTTTAAGTGTGAGATTTCTGTGAAGAAGGTTTCTGTTTCCAGGTTTCTTGTTCATAAATCTTAGCCTATAAACACAGGATCACCAGATGCCAGATTTATAAGGAGCTGTAAAGGCTCTTGTTTGATTTCTACCATCCTTCCTTTCAAAAATACTTTGTCTGAGATGCAAGTTTTTGATCAGTGCTTTCTTACTCATAGTAGTACCTGTAAATGCATGTGCAAGAAAAAGTTTTAGGCCATAAATTTAATTCTGCAGTGAAAATGCAATATTTGCCATCATTCTGTCTTACCTGAAGTTTGAATATTTGAAGAAAAAGCTTTGTTCAAGTCCCTGTTCTGGTGACTGCTTTGTTTATGTAGTATGGGGCACATCCTGTGTATTTTCAGCAGCTGGTGAATTGTAACTTCTGTTTGGTACTCATTACACCATGGTTGTCAGGGATAGCTCCGGTTTGCCCCTTCTAATTCAGGTATTTGGAAATTTGGGTTCTGTTGTCCTGTAAACTTAAAGTACATTTCACAGCATTGAGGGGGTTTTGAACTGGAAAGATCAGCCACTAATGTGACTTCATGCCTGGGGAATGCTTTCATTTTTAGTTCTACTGATTTATGGGAAAGTGTTTAATAGCATTAATGTCTCAAATAATATCTGTAGCAAAAAAAAAAAAAAGGTACATAAACAAAAGCATAACCATTAAAAACCTTCAGGAGGAAGCATGGGACTCAATTATCCAAGAAATGTTCAAAATTTAAAAGAAAGCCATGATGTACTAGCAACTACTTCGTAAGGATATTTACGGAACATCTCGTTAGCTCTTAATTGGAGGGAGAAAGGTTAATATTTAAAATGTATATTACTCTTAAAATAAAACTTAAACCAAACAGTTTTTTGGGCAAAACTTAAAATTTTTATGCTGGTAAAATAGGATATTTTTCCTGCAGAAGCAGCTTTGTGTGCCAAAGTTTGAGGGAGCATACAGATAATGACTGCATATTGAAACATGTATTCTTATACATTCCACTACAAAGTTTATTTTTTTCTGAATTAAAATTACAGGAGTAATTCCCCAGTCCTAGGGAATGAACAGGAAAGTTTTAGTGAGATTTGAGGTGGTATGGGCCCTTCTTGTGCTGGAACAAAAATGGATCAGTGTAGGTATATATTAGTGTGGGAAGAGTATCTGGAGGACGGGTGATTTGTTGCTGGGGTTTGGTTTTTCCCCTGCTGCCAGTGCAGTGCCCAGCCCCAGAGCTCCCTGCGTGCCTGCAAATGGCAACGGGCCAGCACGTGGCACATGGCTGGGCCGTGTTAGCAGCATAAATTTGTGGTGGTGGTAACTTTTGAAATACAAAGTGGGTTCTGAGTGTTGTGCCTCTGTGTGAGGGTCCAGTAACTAGACACACCAAGATAATCTTCATGTTCCACAATCCTACCTGAGGACCAAGGAGAATCCCAGCTACCCTCATTAGGTTTTCTTGTTACTTGAAACAAAACACTTGGTGAATTGCTGTGCAGGGGTGTGAAGGTGCTTGAGCTGTACCTACTATGGTGCATTAGGTCGCAGAATTGTGCAGTAGTGAAGATCAGGCTTATTTATTCATGATGTCTGTGTGAAGCATGAAAGATTTTGCTTTATATAAAATATGAAATTTGTCTGCAAAGAGCAGTTGTTGAAAACTTAGAGACTGAATAGAGAAAATTTGTTCACTATAACTTCAAATATCTACATATACCTATGGAGCTATTATGGTGTCTGTTTTTTATGAACTAAAGTCTTGCTGACCTAATTTAATTTCATTGCATCTTCATGTGTTTAATGTTAATTATTTTATTTTGGGGTCTTTAATTCATAATTTTTTTGTGTAGCCCAGAAGACAGACCTGCTGGAATGAGCGCATCAGAACTAATTTCTTCAGCACACTTCTGGCTGGTGGTAGCAGTGAAGAATCCTTTTTTAGCTGTAGAAATGACTGGTTAGTGTGTACTAGTGTGTCATACAAATTGATGAGTAACTGTATTGTAGATTCTGAAGTTCCTTCTGCTCCTACCTGTACTGTATATATACTGCCTTGAAATAGTTTGAAGATTGGCAGAGTATTTATTCATTGATGAAGAGCAGTTAAAGGGTAAACACAAACATTTTAATATGAGTACTGTTAAGGACACACTCAATTTCTGTCCTGTGTTCAGCATCAGAAGCACACACTCGAGTATTTTAATCTCATTGATTTCACAAGAGTTGTATTTTGACTTCATGTTTAATTCGTTGCTGAATTGAAGCCTTGGATAGGAAAGGCTTAGCCCTCTTACTACAACAGCAGTTACCAAAAAAGTTAATGGTGAATACCCTGGTTTGTATCAGAAACAATCTGCTTTGTTGTTCTTTGATTCCAAGAGGAATACTTTAAACATACATGAAGCAATTTTGCATGAAGCAAAATACTTAATTAAGCCTAATACTTAAGGACGCATGTATGAATAAATTTTCATTGAATAGGTGGAAGAAAAAGAACAGTCTAAAAGAATGTTACTTGGATAATATGGCCTAATTTAAAAAAAAAAAAGTATGTATGTTTTTGACAGTCCGTAAAAGATTAACTTTTTGCCATCCATGCAACAGAACTTAATAGTCAAGGATGTAAAGTTTCTCCATCTTTCAACTCTCCAGCAGACACACTTCACCTCCTGTTTTCCATTCCATCTGCTTTATTTATTTTGGACTTCTTTTATGTTTGCTGAGACTGTGATTTTCCTCTAAGCAATAACCAATGCATAGTTTAATTATGACTGTTGAAAGTTCTAATACAGTTAAATTATTTAAGTCATTGATAGGAGCAGTTACTGAATACAAAATTATCATAGCACAAAGTTACTTTTTATAACTTCTTGTATGAAATTTGTCTTTCAGTACAGAATTCACAGAAATCAATTCAGGGATCAGACAGAAGAGACAAGAACTGGAATTGTCCTGTTCATCTCTGATTGCTAGAGTTGAAAGGTCTGTGTTTTGGATTCGTAGTGGATCTTCATACTTCAAGTTTGGAGTTTGATTAATTCAAACTGGTCTTTAGATAGAATGTCATTTTCATTAGACTAAATAATGTTTGCATTTAACTTGTTAAATATTTTGTGTATTTGCTGCTTGGTGTTTTTATGTCAATAGGTTTTTTCTGTAAGTCTTAATACTTTTCTTGGTACTTGTGACAAGCATAGTAACTCCACTGACTTGTGTGTCTTAACATTTCAGCTTTTCACAGAAATGTGAATTTGAATGTGTTTTCTATTTGGAAGCTAATATTCAATGAGCTTTTAAAATTATTTCTGTCCCTAGATATCAGACTATGCTTGCTTTAGCATCAGTCTGATTCTGATTCCCCACAGCACTCTGTACCCTGCTTTCATGGGTTGGTTCTATCACTTTTTCTGTAATCATTTATAAAAATATCCTGTTTACATCTAAAAAGAACTAACAGGAGTTGTATCAAGTGAAACAGAGAACATAAAATAATTCTATGGGTTTTTTTGTCAGGGAACAGATGTGTGTTAAAGCATACCCTAAGGGTATTTTTGTGAGTATAAAGCAGAACCATAAAAATAACTGATTTTAAAATAATACAATAAGAAATTGGTTCTATGATCTTAATTTCATTACATATCTCTTTGATTTTTTTGGAGTAAAAGAAAAGATTAAGTTAAAATTGCAAGTGAAGAGTTTTTAAATTATAATAAAAATTTCATCTGGGATTGAAATAATAAATTTATTACATGTACATTTTCTTAGGAGAAGTTTCATTCCAACTCAGCGATAATGCAAAAATTGTAGATCTCTGTGTGAACTCTGTTTTTGCTCAAGGTTTTCTGAGGGAGTCTGAATAATTTCTTTTTTTGTTTGTTTGTATGAAGGAAAAAATAAAGGAGTATTTTCTACATTCTTATGTAGACTATTTCTCATGTTTCTGCAGAAAAGGTTGCTGTTCTGCTGATGTACTAAATCAGCACTCATTCCCTTATTTCCAGTGCTCTAACCTACTACTTTGGACTGGCCTATTACTGTTCTATATTTGACTTTAAAGAAAGCCAGATGTATATTGCTTTAACATAACATACCTTGTTCAGACAGTCTTAATAGATTAGGCAGTAAAATAAATCTGAAATTAAATATGACAAGGAAGGTTTTGTTCGCTGCCAGTGTTGTGTTTCTCTCTAGCTCTGGTGAAGTTAAAACGATTGTAGTTGCCTAATGTGTTTTGGTTTTGTGCATTGTTTCCAAGACTTGCTGCAAACAGCTAAAACAACTAATGTTACTGCTTTTGCTTTTACTTTGCAGTGTTCCTTTAATATCTTATGGAGCTGAAGCTGAGACCTTTCTTCTCACTTCTTCTGCAGTGGCTGGAAGAGTTCTTCCAACAAATATCAGGCCTTTGGAAAACTTTGGTAAACTTTTTTTTTGTAAGTTTTCTTTATAGCTCATGTGGAGTATTGTTACAAGATGATTATCAGAAATTAAATAGAGTTAGTTACCCTTAATGGGGAAAAAGAAAATATGTTTTGATGCAGTTTCTATTTCAAAGGTAGTATTTCAAAGTCAGCTACTTAATTTCTGAAATAGGAATACAGAACATGAATCATCCACCCCAAAGCTGGTGTAACTTATTCTTTTGAAGATTAAATTAATAAGTATTTCTGTAACTTAATTCCATTTCTAATTGCAACATTTTCTCCATTCATGCTCTTCTTCATTTCCCATTGTTCAAGGATAAATCTTATTTTGATGCATTATGAATGGCATATTTCAGAGGTATATTGTGCAGAGTGGGGAACAAACCTCTCTAGCAGAGAAGAATATTAGTCAGGAAGCAGTGAAATGTAAGGATCTCTTTCAATTTGCCTACAAGCTCTACAGGGCAAAACCTTGCAAAAGTCCTGGAGCTCCATGGTCTGTCAGGAAAGCAGCAGAAGACAAGACATGGAAGGAGTTGCCTTCCTCCAGTTCCTTAAACAGCCTCTGTCTCCATACTCAGCAAGAATGTAGTTTCTCTTCCAAAACGCTGCATGAGTTCAAAGAAGTGGAAACAAAGGAGTCATATTTTATAAAGCTTGAGTTAATACATTCTTTGAATTGGGAATCACACCATTTTCACTTGTCTAGTAGGCAAAGAGATAGGACAGATTTGGGTCTCCTGGCTTATGAAAATTGTGTGGAAATAAATTGCCGGAAGGAATTAAGTAGTAGAAGTATCATGAAGAAGTTGCATTCATATTCTTTATTCTTTTTAAAGGTATGTATTTCACCTCCACATTTCCCAGTGAAAAATGGATAGGTTGCTTCCTCAGGTCTCTTATGTTTGGCAGTGCAATGTAACTGACCCTTAACCATTTTGCTTCTAGTAATATACATGTTAGCTTGTACCTCTTGACTTCCCTGTCTACTTTTCTACTTCTATAGTCAAGCTTTTTTGTTAGGACGCACCAGAAGCATTAAAAAATTATGTTTAGAGCAGAATCTTGTCAGTTGTTTTGATTAGAATTTTGATACTTGTACTGTGGACAGAGATTGAATTCAAAGATAGTGCCAACATACTGCAGTGTTTTAAGATTCAGAGTTTTAAGTCATCTTCACATTTTATTTAAATACTTTCTATTGATAAGGAGCATGCAAGAAGTAAGAGTCTTAAGATTACCTAGTAAAACAAGGGGATGGTGGATATGGAGATGTCCTTTGAGGATTTTAGTCACATTCTGTTGAGTGAGTGTTCCTACCCCGTTTCATTTTTATATGGCATCTGAGTAAAAGGATGACATGCATAAGAAAAGGTAAAGACAAAGGTAAAGAGAAACCTAATCTGAATATTGCTAGAGATGTACAGCAAGTGTATATGTAAAAGGACACCAACTTTTTAAAAAGGTGAAGAAAAGGAGAATGAAGAAAATAAATGCATTTTTCAAAAGATGCAAACTGGTTCTTTCATTTCTTACTAAATGGTGCCTGAAACATCATAGCATAAGCGTTTTTTATTTTCTTTTTACGCTTCTCTCAACTTTTGGTCTCACCTAAAGTATACAGCTTTGCAGCAGAGTAACAGCTGACACTGGCTTCCAGGGTTGTACAAGGAGGCATACAAATATCAATGATGACCATATAACTGTAGTGTCTGAATCATCCCTGTGGCTGCTGCAGTTTTAGTAGTCTGGTACCATTAAATAGTCTGTTTTACTAACTTGACCTGAAAATACTTTAGTGAATCTACGAATACCACTAAGATTTGTGCTGGCATTATGCAGTTTTTATGTGATTAAAATATATTTCAATAAAGAGTCAGTGAGCTGAAATGCCTTTTATTTGGTCCAAGTCCAAAGCTTGTGAAGCTTTTCCGTTAAAATTTTACAAGTGGTAGGGCATGCTAAAAAAGGGTTTGTGCTTCACATGTAGGTTTTGAATGTGCTAGAAAAATAACTCGCATTTTAATTCTGTCCAGATTCCCACATTCCACTTGTATTCTGCTGGGGGTTTTTTATTCTTGCAAGATGATTTCTTCTCCCGTGAAGAAAATTGTCACAGATATTAAAATTTGAAATGTCATGTAACATCTTGGTTTCCTGACTATTGTAGTAGGTTTGAAGACATAATTAGTCTGAGACAGCCACCTGTTGCTGAATAAGTGCTGCTTAACCACTGTAAAGTCACTTTGTAACAAAATGATTGGTGAGACTGTTAGAGTAAATCCCTGAAATACTGTCAGTCACCTGAAATTCCTCTGAAGTTCTTTACCACCATGTTATTTTCTTTTCAATACATGGTTCCTTTTAAATACATGGTACCTTCTGTACCTATACAATTGATGTTGATTTTCATTTTCTCAAGTGATTTTTTGATCATTAGACATGCAAAATCCAGAACCAGTAATTTTTTTTCATGTTCAAGCAAATTATTGTGTGTTTGCAAGGAAGGTCAGAGGATGTGATTGGAGTCCTGTGCTCTTTTAAAAGCTAGCAAGGTGGTTATGGAATTCATTCTCTTGAGATTATTGTTTGCATTTAATACAGTGATAGGTTTTTTTATTCTGCTATCAAAGTAGTAAGTGGTAGAAAGAGGGTTTTTTGCAGTTACTTAGTTTTCTTATTCCAGTCTTACTTCTCTAAAATATGTTTGTGAATACATTAGCCAAATATTTTACTGTAGCAGAAGCATGGGAAATAATGAACAGAGTTAAAATCACGTTTGTGATGTGAGAGATTTATTGCAAAATCTATAGCACTTAATCTTTCTTAGTTTGCACTGTTCATGTATGAAATTGAAGCTGTGAAAGAATTCATTTTAACACCACATCCTTGATTCTTCCTGAAATCCACACAAAGTGTGAAATAAATTAATTGACATCCCAAGAAATTAATTTAATTCTGAAGTATTACATTCAAGCATATTTACTTAATTATCATTAATTTTTAATTCCTGAATTATCTACCAGAAGCTTTCACAGCTGTCAATCAGTCTCCCTGTGCAGTGAATAAAACCTTTAGCTTCCCTACCAAGACTTTTGTTGAATGGTAGATGGCATTAAATAAATTAGTGCAGTATCAACACAAGAGCTGAGCTGCTTGCTAGGTGTGCCTTAGTCATTCTTTGTAGAGCTTTTGGTTTTTTGATGCACTGTAGGCTGCACACTGTAGGTGCTGCTGGCACCTTGAGTGTCTTGTGGCAGAGTTTAAGTTCAGTTTGCTCTATATCTGGTGAATAAGTTTGCACTGTGTCATTGCTGTATCTGATCAACTGCTGCACTGCTGTTGGATGATGTGATCGTCCAGTAATGGCCGCTGGGAAATGTCCCTTTCTCTAGTGCTGCATTTCACTATATCAACAAGCCTGTTATAGTGACAGGAACTGCTATATGCTAACACTGTTGTGTGGTTAATTCATTACTTTTCTAACAGCTTAAATGCTGACTATCTTTGAGCAGCCGGTTCATAAATAACAAATAACAGTTTCACTGTGCATGCTATCAGTGTCCATGTAGTCATGCCAGCACTGCTTCTAAACTGTGTGTTCAGATGTCTGATGTGTCACTTCACCTTGTTTCTGTTCTTTGAAACAACCAGTTTTCATTTAAAAATAAAAAAAGCTGTGGCAGTATTACATTCTAAATCTTAAATTGTATTATTTGGGGATATCTGTTATGCTGTAGAAGGTCCTTTTATGTTCTTAAATATGTTCAGATAAATGGTTATTATCAAATCTTAATGTCTTCTGTTTTTATTATAATATTTAGGCAAAGGATATGCTGTTGCATGTACCCAAGAAGGGGAAGAGAAAAAGGAAGCTTCTGGTTCATCTGGCACTAGAGGAAGTAGGAGGAAATCAGTTGCTACTACTCCTACGAGAAGGTCTGCACGAAACAGCAAAAACGAGGCTCTGACTCAGTCTCGGAGCTCCCCTCGATCAAGCAGTTCTGCTTGCAGTGCCCCTGAAAGCAGTAACCCATCTCTGAATAAAACTCATTCAGAAGCAGAGAATACTCCTCCAAAACGCAGGTCTAAAAGAGCAGTTAAACAACAAGCACCTGCAGTTAAAAAGAAACTTAGAAGTTCTGCACATTCTGAAAAATCACCCTGTGGTTCAGTGGAAGATGATGACATTGCTGAGCCTGAAGTTGTCTTAACTTTAGATAAAGACCACCAGTCAGATAATGAAAGCAATAATGCAAGCCTCCCACAGAAGAATAATGTAGAAACAGAATCTGCTAATGGATTGGAAAGCTGTAGTGAGCATGCAGAAACCGAGGAAACTACAGGAGAATGTGACAGAGATGAATACACTTCAGGCAATGCAGATGTTAGTTTTTCTCTCCAAGAACTCCCAATACTAACTTTAGGAAGTGAGAGTCAGGAATTTAAAGTAAAAGATGTTACTGAAAACAAGGCAGATCTTGGCAGTCAGGACAATTGTGAAAATACTCTTGAAGAAGTGGAAACAGTAGCTAGTCCCAAAGATGATGTATGTGACCATGCAACTTCTGAAAAAGTAGATCAGACATCATGTAGTCCTCAAAAAGAATTAATGGAGAACACAGAAACTTTGACAAAAGTAGATGAACCCATAGCTAGTCCAGAAAATGAATTGTTGGAACATTTGGAACCTCTGGGAAAAGATCAGCCATTGGAGAGCCCTGGAAGTGAATTGCCTGAGCATCCTGAAACCATGGAAACAGATAATTCTGAGACTGAACTAAAACCAGTAGTAGACTGTGCAAATACAAAACCTGTTCAAGATGAAGAACCAGATGCATTAATACACAGTATTTCTGTGGACAGTACATCAGAACAGCCCTTAAAAGAGGACACCATTTCAGAAAGTGAAGAGGGTGGAGCTTCAGAGTCTTCCCCAGTAAATGCTGAACATAAACATTTTGGTGAAGATAATAATGAAATGATACCAATGGACTGTGACTCATTTTGCAGTGACCAGAATGAACTGAAGATTGAGCAGTTAGTACCACCTGAAAGTACAGAGCAAGGAGAAGTGAACTCCGTACAGTGTGATGTGGGAAACTGTGTATCAGGTTCTGATGAAAAAGATGAAACTGTTCCTCAAGCAAGAGAGTGCCAGCCAGAGCTCAAAACAGAGAAAAAGGCTCGAACTAGAAGATCTAGATTTCATTCTCCATCGACAACTTGGTCTCCTTCTGGGAGAGAGGGCAGGAAATCTCAATCACCATCCCCTAAAAGGGAGACAACTGGAGACAGGAGCTCACAATCACCTAAGAAGGTAATTGTGAAGGAGGGAAGGAGATCCTTATCTTGTTCTCCAAAGAGAGAGACACTCAGAGATGAGAAAAAACCACCATCTCGATCTCCCAAAAGGGAAACTGTCAGGGAAAGCAGGAGATCATCTTCTCGATCACGAACTAAGGATTCATCTCCAAGGCGAAAATCTAGGTCTCGAAGCAGTGATAGAGATAATCAAAGAAGAGATCGTGACAGAGAAAGAAGAAATAGGAAGTGGTCTAGGTCACAGTCACGCTCTAGGTCAAGATCACGATCTAGGACTAGAAATAAAGGCTCTTCATTCACTAGAAATGAGAGGGAAAGTCATTCACCTCGATGGAAAGAGAGATGGGGAAATGACAGCTGGAGAAGTCCCAGAGGAAATGATCGATACAGGAGAAGTGATCAAGAGAAACAGAATGAAAATCTTAAAAAAGAGAAGGACAATATTACAGAAAAAAGCAATGATGATCAATGTTCTTCAGATAAGCAGAGAAATGATTGTCCAGACTGGGTAATGGAGAGGATAAACTCTGTTCCTGAAGTCAGGAACAGAGAGAGAGAGAAACCACATTGGGAAGAAGGCAGGCATGACAATGGAGGACAGTCTTGGAATAAAAACTTTGGTTCAAGTTGGATTCCAAATCGAGGGAGAGGTCAGCGTGGCCGAGGTGGCCATGGCCGAAGCGGTTTCATGTATGGAGACCAGAGTGAAAGTCACTGGCAAAACAGAAAACCTCTCTCAGGGAACTCAGATGGTTCTGGGAGTGAAGCTTCAAGGTTCTCAGAACAGCAGCCATGCAAGCGTAAGAATGAGCAAGAGTATTCGTTCGATACACCCGCTGACAGGTCTGGGTGGACATCTGCGTCCAGCTGGGCTGTGAGGAAGACTTTACCTGCTGATGTGCAGAACTATTATTCCAGAAGGGGACGCAATTCATCAAGCCCACAGTCTGGATGGGGAATGAGACAAGAAGAGGAAACACCTGAACAAGGTATTCGTGGTTTTGAAGTATAATAGCTTAGTCACAGATGCAGTAGCTGAGCACAATCCTGTCACATTGTCCTGTGATCTCATCTGTTGATATGTTCTTAAAAAAATTATTTGGGGTGAATCCATACTCTTTTTGCAATATGGAGGGGTAAAGGTGGAGTTTGGTGATTTCTTGTGTTTTGATGGCTTCTTGGTTTTGCTTAAAGCCCAAGTTCAGGTTTAAGGACTGTGCATCTGAAGAGCGCTGATGAAGTAAATTGATTTGGCTGAAGAGAAGGCATATCTTCGTAATTACTTTTAGTATTTGCACAAATTTAAAAAGGCTACTTCATTTTAAAAATACATGAATTTGCCTGTGCAGACCCACATGGCAGATCTTAGCCAAGCAGCATGTTGATGTTTATCTTGCTCCTAGATAAGCGCAGTCCTGTTTAAATGCTTTAAAAAAATCTAGGGCAATTTATAAATACAAAACCAGTGCCTTTACTGTATTTCAGTTTTAAAATGCCTCCAAAATGTTAATATAAGTCTAAATCAGTTTTGGAGGGGTTTATCTAAAAGACAACCACCCTGACAGAAATAAACTTTTTGGTAGAAAGTAAGTTAACTGAACTGTTGATGAGATTGATTCTGAATATTTTAGAAGTCATCCACAGATTATTAATGCCCTGATTAATAACCTTTAAGGATAGGTGTGAATTGAATTAAAGAATTATGAAATATATTTCTGAAGACAACTACACTTTTGCACTCTTGCACTCTCTCCTTGCTTTGCCTTTCATTTTTATCCATTTTCATTCCATGTGCAAGCAGTTTTCTCCCTCTTCTGAGAGATAACTGCATCAGTGGCTTCCTAGTTTTGAGGCAACATTGTCACCCTTTTATCTGCTGCAGGGAAGACTTACCAAACCTGTAGCTGAAAGCATATTGTGGTTCAAAGACTTTTTCATGTAGTTCAGGCACAGTCATGCTGTTATTCACTTTTGGAAGCTGAGAATATCTCTGATAACTGGTTAAAACAGGATAGGTTGCCATCATGACATGGTCCTCCAGGGCAACCTGCTTTTGCTGACCCTGCTTGTGCAGGGAGGCTGGACCAGAGAGTCTCAATAGGTCCCTTCCAACCTCACTGACTCTGTTATCCAATTATCTTTAAAAATGAGGATTTGGGCTAACATGTAAGGCCTTAGATTGTGATCTCTGTGAATTAGATGACAGGGTTCCTCAAGGAAGGGATTCTATGGAAGGACATCTAAATTGCAGCCTATCAATCATTTCTCCAAACTGATTTATTGACTTCTGGAAGGCTGCTGCTTATGTCTAGATTTTAACTTATTGGCTTCTGTTGAAAAGAAGATGAGATATCAAAGTAATTTATTTAAGAAGTGCTACCTGCTACCCCAAGAGGTTATTTTTACTTCTAGGTTTTACCTGTTGTACCATTACAGGGTTTTTGAACAGCTCTTTCTGAATATGAATACCTCTTAAATGGTTTGAGGATGACTTATTGCTCAGTGTGAAAAATCTCAGCAGAGTATTTCTGTAATTACCAGAACTGTACAGTGAGTGTGTGTGAATCAGGAGCAGACACTTGCTGATGTAGTAATATGTGACTAACCTTCTGCAATTGCAGAAGCCAAATTTACTGGGTAAATTATGTTGTCTTCCCACTCTTAGGTGAAAAATTGCAGTTTCATTGTGATGAAATAATTTATTGGATTTGTTATGGGAACGAGTATAGAAAACAAATTCAAAATGCAGGCTTTCATAGTAACCTACATTTTTTAAACTTGGAAATTAGCATTTGGTTTCCTGGCATGTGTGGTGGTGAGTGCTGTGCAATATCTTGAAAATACTCAGATTATAGAAAGCTTTTTGATAATCCATCCTTAATTAAGAGTTCAGACACCTTGCTCCCATTTTGCTTTATGAAGTACAGAATTCTTCTTGATATACTGTCTGGGTTTTGTTTTGGCAGATCCAAACCTCAAAGATCAAGGCAACCAGCAAAATGATGGCTCTCAGTTACCAATAAATATGATGCAGCAACAAATGAATGTAATGCCACAAGTGAATGCACAGCACCAACCTATGAACATCTTCCCGTATCCAGTGGGTGTCCATCCTCCCTTGATGAATATGCAACGAAATCCTTTCAACATCCACCCTGCAATGCCCATGCATCTCCCTACTGGAGTGCCTCTCATACAGGTAGCTGCTCCCACAAATATTTCTCAGGGATTACCTCCGCCTCCACCTCCACCCCCACCATCTCAACAAGTCAACTACATTGCTTCACAGCAAGATGGAAAACAATTGCAGGTATGCTTTATCAGAAGCCATGGCAAGAACAGTGGTGAAATAATACCAGCTAAGGATTCTTTATCTTCAATATCATAAATTTATACTTGCAGTTTCTTTCTCTCTTGCCTATTTTCTTCCACCTTGCACCAAATTTGAAGTGGAAGCATCCATGAGCATATGGGTTGTAGCTTTTAAAAAATAACAGCATACAGCATCATAACCAGGTTTCTGTGGTAATGGAACACTGAGAAATTTCATCAGTGTTGTCCATTATCTTTTTTATCTTAGAAGTGACCTGCTTCCAAAACTAAATCTTCCCCTTTCAAACCTGATTTTTGAGCATTTTAGGAAATGCTTGAATACCTTTTCAGCAGCATATAGAGTGATCTAAACTTCTGTGTTGCAGTTCTCATCCCATGGGGGTCTACCAACAGAGGAAAATTACCAAGTACTACATGGCACCCTTCCACTTCCATTCTCCAGCTGTCACCATCTCAGTGGCTTCTCCACACACGCATTTTTTATTGTTTAATCTTTTGAGCCTTTTTATTAATAATTTCTGAGGTCTTTTTGGTGTTTTTTACTTCTGCCTTCTTACCTGATTCTCCTGGTTTTGCATGCCCTGTTTGAAACCTAACTCCCACTTTATTTCTCCAGTTTCAAAAAGACTCTGCCATGCTTAGGGCAGGTCAGACCATCTTTTTATGACTCTCATGATATCTTTAAAACAACTCTTATGTATGTGAGCTCCTCCTGTAGCTGGCTGTTCATATTAAGAGCTTTTTTATCAAGGAAAATAATATTAACAACTTGGAGGAGAACCCATGGCCCTGCAAGATGTGATACTGTATTTATATTAAGTAAAGGGCTCCTCAGGAGTTGACTGGGGTTTGTGCTTTTCTTTTGCTGCTGCCTTTTCTAACCTAAACCACCTTCCCCTACATTCCAGGTTGAAAAAGCGAGCAAACGATTTCTAACCCTCTGTTTTCATGCATCATCTGTAAAGATCTGAAGTGAGCTGATAAATTACCTACATTGTTCTCACTTTTCACTGCTGTCATCTGTTTATAGTCATTAACTTAGAACAAGGAGAGTTGAGTGCTGTGGGAAATACTGAGAGGGGTTACAGGCCATATGAAATAACTTAATACACTGCAAAGTAAACCAAGAAGGTACTGCTGGAACTAAAATACTGGTAGATTGCTTGTTGATTTAATTAATACCTCCTGTGTTAATTAAAATATTTTCACAATTGGAAATCCAGTAGATTTAACCTCTAAAAATGTAAGAAGTCAGAACATAGGCTTCAAAACCTCTGAAATGAGTATCTAGTGCAGCAATAAATATGTTTCTGTAAAGATTGTGTGTTGCTGCAAACGCAGTTACCTGTTGTAAAGCCCATGTTACACTTGTTGCTCTTACCTGCTTTTGTGGACTCGTGTCCATGAACCTGAATGCTCTTGCAGCTGTTGCTGCTTTTTCTTTGAGCTTTCATTCAACAACCCCTCAGTGGTAGCACAATAGAAATGACTGAATACTGCAGGACACCACCTGTCCTTCCTGTTGAAAGGGAAATGAAGACAGCACACTGGTGAGCGTTAGCATGCTGCTTATAACAGCTCCATTTCTCTGTCCTTTCCAAAGAGCTCAGATTCCTGTTTCATTATTTTCCATCTAGATAAATGCAGATGTGTAAAGAGTAATGCTGATGACCTGCAAAAAAGCAGTGTTTAGTGTGGCCTGCCAGAAACATGTCAGGAGGATGTTCTGGGCTTTTGCTAAAAATGGCCTCTATCTGAAGTCTGAGTGCTACTTAATTTCTCAGTTCCAAAGTATGTACAGTGTCTTTTGGTGATGTTTGGAAATGGCCAGAAAATGGCTATTGCTGAAAAACAGATCCTGGTACTTCAGCCAGCATTTCATCTCTTGCCTGTGTATTTATATTTGCAAGTTCAAGCTGAAAACAAACATGAAAATAGATGTTTTCAAAGCAACATCATTATGATGCAGGAATGCAAGTGTGGCTTTGGGTGGTACCTTTTGCATCTGTGTTTGGGTGGTGATATTTTTAGAAAATGTCTACTTATCACATCCTTGTTTTGTAAATCAGATTGATTCTGCAGCCATAAACTTCCTTCTCCTTGTACCTCCGTGCCTATTTGCAGGGTATTTTATTACTGGGATCAGAGCTAGAAATTGCAGCCATTGTGGTGACATGGAAGATGCTTTACTTTTCAAGCTTTTCTTTTTGTTTTTTTTTTCTTTGAGTCGATCTAATGTAATGTGTGTACCTTCCAAAATAATGGGCAGTGTGGAAATCAGGTAAAGAAGCAAAGCATGCAGTATTTGTGCTCATTCTAAAGCAGCTGAGACTCCTAGAAAGCCACATTGCCGTATAGAAGAATAACGTATTAACTACTGCTAACTTTTTAAAACAGGGTATTCCAAATGCTTCTCATGTAAGTAACAGCATGAGTGCTCCAGCTTTGCCTGCTCCAGCAGCAGTCCTGGGAAACGTGGGAACAGTTCAGGGACCAAATTCGGGTAATGCAACGTCATCAGGTCACATGAAGAGCTCTAATGCAGCTGTAAAATTGGGAGAAAACAAAGGAAGTGTAACAGTGGAAGCCAGTGCAGATAGCTCGAAGAAGGACCAGGCAAGTTCAAAGTTCAGCATATATTTTATATACACTGTTTATATATTTACATTAAAATATAAAATTTAATTTTTATATAAATGCATTTTGATGTACTAAAAAATAGCAAGTTATGACAATAACCCTTCAGTGTAATATACTCCATACCATCATGTATGTAATATTTTTGTGGCAGCCATAGGACACAGGTTAGCCTCTGACTCTTTTTAATGTAGTCTTCTTTAAAGCACTTATTATAAATATCACTTGAATTGCTGTGGGAAAATGTTCTGTGCTTAGCAGAGCACAGGCAGCTCCCATGAGGGCTGAAATGTGTATGTCGGGGGGGGGGAAGGGGTTGTCTAATCTTCTGTAGCAACCTTTTTCCTGTGAAGTTTTAACTTGTGTGATTGATAAAGATACATAGGCAGTGAAATGTAATACTCAAGTTTGTTTTCTCTTCAGAAATTGTTAATTCAAGAAAAAGCAGCACAAGAGGTCAAGCTTGCAATCAAACCTTTCTACCAAAACAAAGATATCACTAAGGAGGAATACAAAGAAATTGTGAGGAAAGCTGTAGATAAAGTAAGTTGGTGCAGTAATCCAAGCTGCACACATTTCACTCTGGGGCAAGCTTTGGGGTGGGTTTCTCATTTTTGGGAACAGCTCATAGTTGCTGGAAAGGGGGAAGAGGGAGAAGCAAAAATACCTTTCTTCTTTCTCCATCCACAAGAGCTTTCTTTGGCTTCTCAGAACAGAACTTGGTTATTGTGTGGAAGAATTGAATGGGAATTCAGAAGTATTTAGGAAGCAATTGGAAAGTATTAGGAGTTTTAAAATATGTTTTGCCTGGGATGGGAGAATCAGAAGTGTCGGGAAATAAATGACTAATGTGGAACTGTGGCAAATCAATGGAAATGTTTGAATCATTTCAAACGTTTTTGTTCTTTAAACTGTTGCAGGTTTGTCATAGCAAGAGCGGAGAAGTTAATTCTGCAAAAGTGGCAAATCTAGTGAAAGCGTATGTAGACAAATACAAGCATTCACGGAAGAAAAATCCTGAAGAGGCAGTCTCCTGTGAAAGGAAATAGAATATGTTTTCATTTTTTAGTTTTATTCTATATGCAAAGTGCAATTTCAATGTGAACTGTTAACTGAAAATTGTACATGACAGTGATTTGAATTTGGTTTTGATAAAACTATTTTTCAAGGTAGTGTATGATGTTTTGTTCTAAAGAAATATAGATCTGCAGAGCAACTTCTTTATTCCTTTTTAAAAACAGATTTCTAAAAAGAATACAGGTGTAAAGAAGAATCATTAGGAATGTACGCTTGTGTGGATACTTAGATGTACAGCATTTTGACTTGAATAAGAGAGTGCATTAACTTAGAAACTTCGAGTACGTTGGGTTTGGAACAGGTATGTACAGTACATGTGATCAGTCAGATTAAAGTAAAATTTTTCTTTTGATTGCTCCCTAATTATAGCAAAGGTGAAATAATTCATTGCCTTGACAAATATTTCTACTGTTAACTGGACAGGCTGAATGCAGGGGTCACAATGTGTATATTAAAAAAGCACATAGAGTTGTCTGAACACAACTGTTAGATTTCAAAAAGAAAAGTCATAAACAGTAAAATGGGGTGCCCAAAAGCATGGGTGCTGCACAGCTGTTGTAACACCAAATAAAAATTATGCTGCTTGGTATTGTTTGTGATGTTTTTTAATTTGTTTCAAGATAGTGGGATAACTTGAATAATTTTTGTGTTGAAAGTCCTCAATCACCACACGCTGGTAACCTCAGTTTAGGTTATGCACTTAGGCTAGCAGGAGATTAGTGTACCAAAGCTAGATGTTCAGAAACAGAAAAGTTTCTTCTTCTTCAAGTAAAATCAAGAAAGCTGGAATTTATTGTTAGGCTCCCAGTTGACCAGAGACTGCCAGTTGTGCCAATCTCAGCTGCATAATACTTTTCTCCATTAATTAGGGACTGTGGCATGAATCACCAGACTGGTATTGGTGAGCCCATGCCATCAGAAGCCAACTGTCTTCCTGCTTCCCTGAGCACTGGAGACAGATTATTAGAGGTACCACAAGCATTCTAAAAAGAGCTGTCAGGTCACTGAATGTGCCTGGGGAAACCTTACACCTCAGGTAAAACCACTTCTACTGAGGCAGCAGCAGGGAGGGTTGCTGGAATACTGAGATCACATGTGTTCCTTAGCAGAAGAACAGCTGGAGATCCTTCTCCAAGGAGCCTTACTCTGATTTGCTCCCTTACTCTGACACAGTGCTATTAAAATCTTGTCACTAACCCTACAGTCCTGTTGTGCTGTTGGTGTTGGATCAGCCTGGCTTCCGCTCCAGCCCAAAGCCTCCTGGCCCAGAAGCAGGAATAAAACAGCATTTAAACAGAATGTATCAGTTGAGATTTCTGAGGAATTCTCTCTTTGGAGCCAGTAGTTCCCAAATTACCTGGTTTTGGCAGAAAACAGTCTCACCTTTTAAGTAACTTTTGCAGAAGCCTAAGGATGACATAAGGGATATCCACCCCTGTACACAGGTGTGGTGTAGAGAGAGAGGTGTAAAAGCATGATGTTTGTCACAGCAGGTGATTGTTTGGTTTTGACTATAACTTTCTGCAGACTTAATGAAGCATTTGACTGTCTATATTTATTTTTGTGTGCCTAAATACAAATGCTATGTAAATTAGAAACAGATATAATACATTTTCTACAGTCAAGTCAAGTTTTAGGCTTTTCAATATACTCAGTTTTACACTATGATAGCAATTTGTAAGATCTCTTGAACTATTTTAAGCTAAAATTGGTTAGCACTTTTTGAAAAATGTAGCAAATTGCTATGTGTATCCTGGTTTGTCACGCCATGCGTACTTTATTATATTTTCCTTCTCTGAATTTTTGGATTTTAATCACTTTTATATCTTTTTCTAGTCTATACAGTTGAGCCTTGCTATAAAGCTCCTTTCAGGAGTCAGATAAGTGTTTCAAGGGGTTTTTTTCCTCTTTTGGAAGAGAGGTGGAAATTGGGGGAGGTGGGAAAGAAACAAGGGAGGATTTGAACTGGGAGAAGGAAGGGGTGAATTAGTTTCTTGTTTTGCAGCTCCTGGGTGGAAGAAAAGCTGTCACTGGCTTCCACAATGTTGGGGCAGTGACTATAGTGATGCTCCACTGTATTTCAAAACCTAATGAAGAATACCAAATAGAGTAGCATGTGATCAGTAACTTTATTTTTTACAATTAAATCCTTCAGAATTTATCAGAAAATACGCAGTTTGTTACAATTTCTATGTTGAATTAAATAAATGCATTGCCTTAATCTGTAGACTCTGCTCCTGTTTCTGCTGAAGAGCAGCAAGGTCTCTGCTGGTGCAGCTGCATGAGAAGGGGAGTATGGCAACCTCAGAGTCCTGGTTGTGTTCCAGTAGGGTGAAAGGTGTATTTCTGCTCATTGAAACACCTTCTACTGGAACATCCCAACATGCACCAGCACTGAGAGCAGAGGAGGGGAGCTGAGCCCCTTGCTGCCTCCAGGGTAGTGGTGATTCCTTCAATCCAAACTACCTTGTGGGAAACAATTACAAAAGTGTACCTTCTGTCAACTTATGCGAATCAAAAGGGTTTTCCTTGCACCCCTTCCCCTTTCTCACTGTGCATGCTGCTTGAACGTCTCATCCTAAAGATACACCTTACGAACACGGTGGCTGTCCAAAGTCCACAGTACTGTGTATGTAGGCTGGAGTGCTGTCTACTGAAAATTTTAGTTTCATGTAGTGTTTAACAGTTTGTAATAAATTCTTTTCTCTCAGCTGGCAGTGTTTGGTTTTAAATGACTCTGGCTCAAGTGGTGTGGTTTGGAAAGCAATGTAGCTCCTGTTCCTTCTGTGCGCATGCATTTATCTTGTCCTGGGTTGTCTGGGCACCCTGTCCTTTACATCTCATTTGTTTTAAGTTAGTCTTCACTCTGCCTTGCCCATCTGCAGGTGCTCCAAGCTAGAAAAAAACAAATGCAGGTGCCAAGAGCCCCTTCACCCTGGACTTGAAAAACATGGAGGGGAGGGGTTCAGGGCATGAGTGGAATTCTGCTGTGGGAAGCAAACAGGGCGGGATTCAAACCGTGGGTGTGCCCTATGCACAAGTGCCACCTAAGCAGGGAGCAGCTTCACTGAAATACCCTCGGGGAATTTTAGTGCAGGAGAGCTGGCCTGCCTTGGGAACAAAATTCCAGGCATCTCTGCTTCCAAGAGTTAGCTCCACTGTACTTTCATGAGGTAGCTCCACAGGTAAGGTTGGCACAGGTGTGAGAGTTACAGTCAAGGAGATATGCTGGCAACATTTTTCATTACTACACCTTACAATATTCACATTGAACAATACTTGATAAATAGTAGAGATGACAGTAAGGACAATAAAGTGTATCATCAATTTCAGTAACTGAAGACTACTAATTATTACTAATGTACTAATTGTACTAATTATTACTAATGGAGGTCTATGAAATTTTTTTTTAAAAGTTTTTAATCACTAGGTTAGTAAGAAAACCAGTAAGAGCACAAGTAACTACTTGTATAGAAGGAGATGAAGCTCTGGAAGAGCAAGGCTGGGATCTGGAACTTGACTCGGCACTTCCAATATCAGTCACAGCTCCCAGACTCACCCACCAACAATAAAGCTCGACCTGATCATCATTGTCTTGCACTGTGCAGCAAGTACAGGGGCTGACAGCAATAAAGTCAATGCCCTTTACACATGGTAAATGTTCAAACCCAGACTGTAATGCAACACAAACTACTGCCACACACATGAGATTTTGGCAGCAGGTTGTCATATAATTAGTCCTCAAGTTTTGAAGAAATTTAAAACCCACAGAGTATTATAAGGAGTATCAATCAGAAATAGCCAGGCATTTCTTGATCCTTTGGTGCAGTAGCAAGCATTGTGACAGAAAATAACTCATGGAAGTCAGAATTCACTGTAAATTCCAGAGCCCTTTACAAAAATTCAGGGGTTTTTAGGACTGGGAATGTAGCCTACACACGGACTTGCGTCAAGGCCTGAACCTGGAATCTCAGGGCTTTTCCTAGAGGACTATTTAAACAAGTATTTCTAATAACAATCGAGCGATACTTGGTACAGGGGAAATCCAACACCCCCTGTACAGTGGAGGCACTGCAGTACGTGGGTCAGGGTGAGGGATTCCATCTTTGAGGTGCTGTGGGTCAACTACGAGTTTAGTTGCAGGTCAGTTACCTCAAACTTCACAGGAGCCCACTAAAGCCAGCAGGAAAACTGCAATGAGGATGCAAGCCCGTGTCCTCTCCAAAGGTCAGGACAACCAGGCATTGGTGTAAAAGAAAAGTTTACTGTTTTTCCAGGACAGCAACTTTCCTGTGGACATGCAGGCTCAAAACCCCCAAAGAACAAAACCTATATACCCACTCAGATTGCAGTTTGCAGGAAATCCACCTTAGAGCAGCTGTCCAACAGCCACATAGCATCCTAGCAGAAGACAGCCTTTACCATGGTTCACCTTTATGAGATTTGTTACTCTATTGCATTTCTATTCACCTGCAGTAAATCAGGTTTTTTTTATAAAGGTATGGGCTCCGAATATTTTCTGGTTATCTCACCACAGAGAAGGAGAAGCCGAGACCCAAGGTGAAAACCAGCAGGCTTCTAAAACCAAGATGGCTTTGAAGTAGTGATCATTTAAGAAGATATTACCATCCCACCACAAAGAAACTGGTGATACTCATTAGATTATACTCATTAGAGTCAGCTTTGAATTGTCTGCCACTTGAAAATGATTCATGAATTCAAACCCCTCTCTGAAATCCCCCACATTCATTCCCTTAGGGGAACCACTGTGCTAGTTTTGCATTAATTGATATTTGAGGGAACAAATTAATGAACCAAAACCAGCTCCAGGCAGCTGCTCTGCCCCTGCAGAGCTGCAGCCCACGTGCTGCAGGTGCAGCCTCTGCCACACAGGACACTGAGCAACTTTTTGGCTCCCTCAGCTCCTGCCCCTGCCACGCTCTGCAGCCTGCACACACATCCCCTGATCCAGCAAGCCAAGGGACATCAGCCATGGAGCTCTCTGCACCCACTCAAGCGAGCAATGTCCAACAGCCCAGTAATTACCTGGCAAAAAAGGCGGAGGAGGGAGGAAGCACAAGGGGATGAGTACGTGCGTCTGCAGCTGCTGCATGGCAGCAGATCTTGGACCATGGTGGGAACTGAACTCACTCCTCACCACATGCTCTGGGCTTCTCCCTCCAGGTTACCCCCCTTTGAAGTTTGAAACTAGCAAGAAAAAATGAGAACAGTGTATTTTTAGTCATAATAAAATTATTCAAATGCAGGATGTGCTTTGCCCCAAACTGCAGGCAGGCAGGCAGTAATTAACACCAATAGCTGCGCAGTTCTGCCCGGCCATCGCGCTCTACGCAGGGAACACCAGAACTGCATCATCAAGCACAGCTGAGCATAAAGTAATGGAAAAAGAGGGCTGATCTAGAGGTGATCAACTGCAGCACATTTCCTCCTTCCAGGCAAGGGTGCTGCAATAGCTTTCAGTGGAGTGAGACCACAGGCCAACAAAGTGCTGTGTTACTGCTCCGACAGCTTCACGACCCCTAGAGGATTCAGGCTGATGATTGAGGAATAATGTTTGCTTCGGCAAGA